ACACACACTCTCATCCCCTACACTCACACTCAAACATTCTCTCTTTCACTTCCTCCCCCGCCACATTCTTACTCTTTCTCTCTCTCACACACACATATTTTCTCTCTGTTATACACACATATTCTCTCTTACACACTCACACACACATTCTCTCTCCCTCACACACATTCTCTCTCTCTCTCTCTCTCTCTCACACACACACACACACACATTCTCTCGCCCTCACACACATGCATGCACGCACACACACACATATGCACACACACACACACGCTAGTGTGAGGAAACAGTTCTTGTGCTGGTGCTCATGGACATTTCCTCTTCCTCTCCCCCTTTTGCTTTTCCTTCCCTCCTTTTCTTTTTCCTTCCTCTCTTTTCTCTTTCCTTCTCCTCTTCTTTTTCCTTTCTTTTTCTCCTTTCTTTCCCTTAAAAAAAAAAAAAAGCAAGATGGAGCCCAGGCTCTGCAAAGGCTGAGCAAACCCTGTTCTGCTGAACTGTATTCGGTGCTGGGGTACTGCAGGTGTGCAGACAGACATGTGTCTAGGCTGTGACACAGTGGCTATGGAACAGAGCAAGCATGAGAAGAGGCCAAACAGGTGTGCCCAGACAGCCATGTTGTGCTCTGGTACATGGCAAGTGTGCAAACAAGCATGCCCAGGCTGTTACATGGTGGTATCGGTACACATAGATGCAGACATGTAAACAGGTTTGTGTTCTGTGATATTTTGATTGTATTCTGACAATAAACTTTGTTTGAGTCGGAGGGTGAACTAGCCACTAACTGGCCAAAATTAATTATAGAGGTTTCAGAGGACAGGACAGATAGGAGACAGGAAGTAGTGGGCAGAGAGAGGATCTCAACTGTTTTTGGATGGAGGAATGGAAGGGATAGGAGGTCACTGGTGGCTACACAACTGTTTCTCTGATCTTTTAGGTTCTCGCCCCCTATATCTGACTCCTGATTTTTTTCTTGATAAAGAATAATTAGATAAATCCATCACCTGACATCCAGCTTGGGGCAGGAAAGCACAAGATAGCCACTCACGCCTGGCTTTGCAGCCATGGAAACCACCATACAGCTGGATTTTTCTCCCTTGTCCTAAGCCCTCTGAGCAAGCCTGAGATTTTTCTGGTGCAGCTTCTCTACAAGAGCAGCACTTTCAGCGACTGTCCATCACACGTGCTTCTCTCACACGTTCCCCTGTGTCTGCTCTACAGACGGCTGTTCGGTCCTTTCTCCTGTGGGTTGTGGGCCTCTCCTGGACGGCCCCTCCTCCAGCTGATGACACTAGGTTAATTACTTCAGCACCAGCTCGGGCTTCTGTTGTTACACCTGCCCCACACTCTCAGCTCACAGCTACACACAAGCAGCAGCCCTCAACCAGGCTGTGCACTGCCTGTGTTCTCTGCCCAGCTGTGCTGCACAGTGACAAGCGACCTCACACGTCACTGTCATCATCGTCAGCCCTGGTGAAACAACGGGGAATTTTTAAAGGAGGGAATTAAAAATGCAAGTATTATGATGCATTAAGTTAGGTCTCTGTATGGTTCCACAATGGATGGTTTGAAAATGGAACAATTAAATGAAGGGACAATAAACTTAACTGGAATTGACATAAAAATCAATTATCATTTTGATAATTCTTGTTTTATCCCTAAAAAGTTGTTCAATATCAGTGCCAAATACGAACAATTAACTGATAAGATAAAATCTTTAAAAAGATATACTAATGAAACTAAGAAATATATTCACACATAGAGGAGTTTAGTTCAGTATTGAGATTTCCTCTTGATGAATTTTTCCTGTGACTAATGTATGTCCTTCTTTGTCTCTTTTGATTGATTTTAGTTTGATGTCTATTTTGTTAGATATTAGGATAGCTACACCAGCTTTTTTCTTAGGTCCATTTGATTGGAATATTTTTTCCCAATCCTTTACTCTGAAACGATGTCTGTCTTTGAGGTTGAGGTGTGTTTCTTGTATGCAGAAGAAGGATGGATTCTGTTTTTGTACCCAATCTATTAGCCTGTGCTTTTTTATAGCTGAGTTGAGTCCATTTATATTAAGGGATATTACTGACCAGTGATTGCTATCTCCTGTTAATTTAGTTTTCATTGTTGGTGATGTTAATTTGTGCGTTTTTCCCTTCTTTGGGATTTACTGCTATGAGACCATCAGTTGTCTGTATTTTTGTTGGTGTAGCCAATTTCCTTGGGTTGGAGTCTTCCTTCTAGTGTTTTGTGTAGGGCTGGGTTTGTGGTTAGGTATTGGTTAAATCTGGTTTTGTCATGGACTATCTTGTTTTGTCCTTCTATGGTGACTGAAAGTTTTGCTGGGTATAGAATTCTGGGTTGGCATCCATGGTCTTTTAATGTCTGCATAATGCTTGACCATGACCTTCTGACTTTCATTGTCTCTAATGAAAAGTCAGGTGTAATTCTGATAGGTCTGCCTTTATATGTCACTTGATGTTTTTTCTTTGTGGCTCTTAATATCCTTTCTTTACTCTGTATGTTTAGTGTTTTGATTATTATGTGGTGAGGGCACTTTTTTTTTTTTATCTAGTCTATTTGGTGTTTTGTAAGCTTCTTGTATCTTCATAGGCTTATCTTTCTTTAGGTTGGGAAAGTTTTCTTCTATGATTTTGTTAAATGTATTTTCCGTGCTTTTGAGTTGAACTTCTTTTCCTTCTTCTATGCCTATTATTTTTATCTTTGGCCTTTTAATGATATCTCATATTTCCTGGATATTTTGGGTTAAGTGCTTGTTAGATTTAATTTTTTCTTTGACTGACAAGTCTATTTCCTCTATTGTATCTTCAGCACTTGAGATTCTCTCTTCCATCTCTTGTATTCTGCTGTTCATGCTTGTGTTTGTGGTTTCTCATGATTTATGTTTCTATAATTCCCACAGCTTGTGTTTTCTTTATTTTCTCTATTTCAGTTTTCAAGTCTTGAATAGTTTCTTTCATATGTTTGATTTCTTTTTCTTGTTTTTCTTTAAGGGATTTGCTGATGTCTTCCAATTTTTTGTTTGTCTTTTCCTCCATTTCTTTGAGGGGATTTCTCATTTTCTCTGTAAGTGTTTCAAACATTCTCCTGAAGTTATTTTTTAGTTCATTTTCTTCTGCTTCATCTATACTGGTTGTTCAGTTCTTGCTGTTGTAGGGTATTTAGGTTTTACTGGTGTTGTGTTGCTCTTTGTGATGTTGCATGTGTCTTTACCTTATCTATTCATCTTTTCCTCTAATAGTGTAGTTGGGTCTGTCTGTGATTCTGTTGATTAATCTTTTAGGTGTCTTTGAATCCAAGGCTCAGATGGTTGATCCTCATGGTACAGTCAATGCCATGGTTCTAGTTACCCCTTTGGTCACTTTGTGTTCCCAGAGGTTGCTTAGTGCTCCTAGGCTTTGCTCCACTCCCTTGGAGTTTTCTCTCTTAGGCCTGCTCTAACCTAGGTTGTCGGCTCAGACCTGTTTCTGTAAATGTTTCTGGTCTGGCTCCATTGCAGAGGTCCCTGGCTTGGGGTTAGTCCTGTAAAGGACCCTGGCTCTGGTCTAGTCCCTCGGAGTTCCCAAGTTTGGGTGTGCCTGGACCTGCAAAGGACCTGGCTTAGGCTTACTCCCTCAGAGGTCCTAGACTCAAGCTTGGACTTGCAGAGGTTCCTGCCTATTTCCTTTGATGTCCCAGACCAATACCAAGACCCTCAGAGGTCTTTGCTCAAGCCTACTCCCTCTGAGGCCCCAGACTCATGACTGGCCCTGTAGAGATCTCTGGTTCCTGCCTACTCCTTCGGAGGTTCCAGATTCATGCCCAGGCCCATGGAGACCCTGGCTCAGGCCTAGTTCCTTCAAGGTCTAGACTGACACCCAGACCCACAGGGGTCCTGGCTTAGGTCCACTCCCTTGAAGGTCCCAGATTTACCCCTCAGCAGGCTCTGTCTCTGGCTCATTCACTCAGCGGTTGCTCCCCTGTACCTTTTCCTGTGGAGTTTGCTGTCTCAGGTCTGCTCTGCCCAGGTCACTGGCTCAGTCCTGGTCCACTAATGTCCTGGACTGGACCCGTTTTCAATCCCATGGAGCTCGCTTTCTCAGGCCCCCTCTGACCTAGGTCTTGTCTTTCTTTTTAAAAAACTTTATTTAACCTTATTTTATGTGTATTGGCTTGACGGTGTCAGATTCCTTGGAACTGGTGTTACAGATAGCTGTGAGCTGCCATGTGGGTGCTGTGAATTGAACCTGGGTCCTCTGGAAGAGCAGCCAGTGCTCTTAACCTCTGAGCCACCTCTCCAGCCCATGTCTCTTTTTATAAAAACAGAACATAATTAGCAAATGATGTGCTGTGTTGAAAATATGACCACAGAAGTCAGAAGTTATGAAGTGCAATCTTAATTTCAGGATAATAACAAGATCAAGAAATATAACATAGCCCACTCTTTTCCAAATATTATGAGCTAAGCTAGTTCTTTTGTACTTGAAGAGAAAAATTAGCTTTCATTGGGAAAATGCTGAAGTCTGGCCTGTGTGTGAAAATGTATTATCACCATGTCTCACTGACACATACTCAGTCTCACCTGTTTCCATTCTCTCGTTCCTACTCACGCCTTTTCAAATAAAAATGCTTCTTCACCTCAAAGAATAAATAAAATTTGTTTACATAGGAAGAGCCACATGGTGGGTAGTTTTCAGGCTCTGAAAGATATTATGATTATAATGGTCATTTGTGACTTTTGCTCAGTGGTAACCCTCCAAGGACCCCGTCTGAAGTTTTCATAAAAACTTCTTAGCTGGTAGGATTTCCTACAAACTAGCTAATAAAGCTATCGGGCCCATACCCCGAAAATGTTGGTTTAAACCCTTCCCATACTAATAAACCCAACCACAGTGCCTTCCTGTTCTGCATAAGGGACAATTATGAAATGAAGCTCATAGGGCCCTAGAAGGCATGTGCAAGGAGATTCTTTTAAAATCTGCTCCTTTATTCATGGATTTATAGGCATAATAACAATGAGGTTATTTGCCCTGGAAGCTGCTATCACTCCGTGTTGTTTCATTGCTTACACTATTCATCAAGAGCACAGGTTTGATAGATATTTTCATGTGTTACCACAGACTTCTCTTTGCAATAAGAAACACACTCAGTGCCATACCAAAGTGAGTTTATTGACATTCCTTGAAGATGTATGATGGAAGAGAAAGCGAGGCCTGAGTATCACGTGACATTTCTTTTGAAGATGTAAGCAAAATCAGCCCAGTAGTATGGACATCTTCTGTTAGTGACTAGAACAAAGACTTGTAAACAAAATTGTTATGGACATTTCCTCAGATAACGGAAGCTGCAGGAAGTAGACTAATGGAACAATATTTACTCTACATACTACCTCTAGGCACCTTGTATCTACTAGAACAAAGGGACTACATGTCATTAACAGGAAAATAATACTTTCTCTTTTGGACCTTGTGATAGCTGGAATAGTCACCCTGCACATGTATGATACAGTATTGCAGTAGTTTCAATAACAAACACCAAAAGACATAATAGTAATTATAATCATAATAACAACAACAAGAAGAATAATAAAGCACCACATTTTGTTATGTAAAGTTCTAACTACTTTCATGTGAAAGTGTTTCATCTTGACTGGGAATACATTTGTGGCAACTTAGAAATTTTCAGAACCCAAATTTGAGACATGTGGCTTGACACAGGGACTGACAATGAGATTGCATACTGTTAGAAGTTTCATGGAAAACTCAGCTCGCTGGCTTGCCGTACAAACATTCTTACTGGTGAATGACGCAGCTTCATTATTAACAGGAAAAATATTGAAATCTTTCATGAATCAAGCTTGCCAAAATATCATTTCACACTTCATTTTATTCATTAACTTTCCCAAAATATTTGTGCTATCATAGTGATGGTAGTAAAAACTTATCACAATGTTCTCCAGCTCATGTACACAGGATGTCATAGAGAATCCAGTAGTTCTAGATTAGTTCTGACTGTGAAGACTCAATTTCTATCGGGGAGAGTCCCATCTTCATGTTACTGAATATTGTCTCCCAATAAAGGATGTCATACTCATAAAACTAGATATAAAAATCTTGCTTTAGGGATGTTATGACTTATAAGTGATTATTTTGCAATTGCCTTTATGGAGAAAAAAAGTTAAAGAACTATGTAGGGTCACAAAAGATCTGTGTTACCCAAAGAATTATGTCATTTGAGGTGACTTATGTCTCCAACCATTAAAATTAATAATTATTTCTACAGTTATTTCCTTATGTGTAAGTGTATATACATATAAACATATGGTTACATGTATAGTTACATATAAACACATGTACATATAAACATATGGTTATATGTATAGTTATGTTTATATGTATATATATTGAAATTATGTATAATTTTAAAATTAATCTCATATGATTTCAAAAGTGTCTTTCCATGACTAATTTCTGAGCTCCTCTTTCCTTTGATTTCTTTCTTCCCTGCAAAGCTGAAGCCATATGTTGGGCTCTATGAAGCAAGCCGTGTATTCTCTCAGTAACTTTGGTGTTGGTATTGATGCCATTTTTCATTTTTCTATTTTACTATTGTTTTTCATAAGGCCCCCAACCCTATCTGAGGATCTATTGACAGCTAATGGCATTTGAGAGTCAGTTTCCTTTCTTTTCTCTTCTTTCTCTTTCTTTCTTCTTTCCTTTCTTTCGTCCTTTCTTTTCTTTCTTTTTCAAAACAGAGTCTCACTATGTAGCGCTGATTGTCCCAGAACTCACTCTGTAGACGGGGCTCACAGAGATTTGCCTGCCTTTGCTTTCCACGTGCTGGGATTAAAGGTGCATGCCACTTACAACCCAGTTATGAGAGTCAGTTTTTTTACACATAAGATATGTTTACATCCTCCAGGGGATGGCATTACACTAATTAGTTTATGGAGAGCATAAACTGAACTCAATAGATTGTAAAGGAAAAAATGGCATGAAATTCAGAAGGAACTGAAGGCTGAGGAGTGGATCTTGGAGGAATTAGGAAGAAGAGTGTTGGATGATTATGATTTAAATACGTTGTAAACATTCTTAAATAATTAATAAAAAGATACTACTGCTGAGGCTGGAGCGATGGCTCAGAGGTTAAGAGCACTGGTTGCTCTTCCAAAGGTCCTGAGTTCAATTCCCAGCAAGAACATGGTGTCTCACAACCATCTATGATGATATCTGGTGTCCTCACATGTGGGCATACAGGAAAGCAGAACACTGTATACATAATAAATACATAAATCTTTAAAAAATACTATTGCTGTCATGTTTGCTTGTTGGGATTCATGTAGAGCCTGGCATTAGGATCGAGGTATAACTAAAAATTAGCAAAAACGAAACAAACAAACAAAACCCCAAAACATTTATCTGAGTTTCTTATTCACATGTAATTTCTAAGATAATTTGTTTCTTTTGTACGTTGGTAGACTAAACAGTAAACCAGTTAATAGATTGTCTCATTTTTGTAAACTGTAAACCTTTCCAGGAGCCGCTTTCTACACTTGAACCTACAACTTTCTCCTTTTCAACATATGGCAAGTGCTAAAAATGCTGAATGCTTGAATAGATGAGTTTTATGTATGTATAAAATGAATTCTAAATATGCTGTTCAATGAGCTAAAGATTTAGTGAAAGTGATTTTTGTAGTCCTTTTGTTCTGAGATCATTAATAAAGAACAACTCCATTGGAATTCATTGTTTTTCCATACTGGAAATATGGACCAAATTTGACCTATTCCTAAGCTGTGTATCATACAACTTATACTCCATTTTTAGTAAAACTTTTATTTAGACAACAATAGGAAGCTAAGTTTCCATTATGTATACTTCCTGTTTGACAACAGACATACAGGAGCAAGGAGTGTTTGGCATTGTGATTAATTTTTACTAAGAAAATATATTTTAGAGAGCAGGAACATACCGCACTGGTGACATAAGCCACGAGGCATGGCTTCATCTGAAGTTAGCTTTACCTTCTCAGACTTTCCCCCTTGTTTTAATATGCTGATTATAACAATGGATATTTTAATAGTTGAGTCTCTTTAGCTTTTCTTTTTCCCAGTGAAGAAAAACACTTTCATTTATGTCATATTTCAGACAACATGGATAACATGGTTACAAAAATAGCAAATGACCATTATGGTTAGGTTTATTTCAAATGTAATCAAGATGTCAGGCTGTCTGTGGAGCCCGAAAGTGTTTTCCTAAAGACACATTTTCTTAGATATTTTGCTAAATGCTAAAAAAATGTTTTTTTTTTTTTGGACATAAGTCAGTATGTCTCCGAAAAAGTGCTATGGATGAAGGAGAAGTTTATATTGCCCGTGGTCCCTAACAAGCACCGTCACTCTCCGCAGCTCCTTATGTGGTTTCTGTGAACATCAGAAGTGACAGAATGGGAACACCATGAATAACAAAAGAAGAGAAAAAAAGAGTGAGAAAAATACCAAAGTTATAAAGAAATAAAAGGTTTACTGGTCAAGTAAACAAACCTGGCTTCAACAAAAGCCATGAGATCTGTTTGTACTATGTGTGTGAGAATAGATTAACAAAATTCACGTATTTGGATAAATGTCCTAGGTCCTGTCCTTTTTCCTGTTTGCCCTGTCACTTTCTATGTAGCAACACTGGAGTTAAAGGTTCATCTTTCAATCTACAGCAATAACGATTGCTTCCTTGGACATGGCGCACACGTTTGTGCTTCTTGAGTGGCGAGTGTTCCCCAGGGGTGCTCTCCCCACTCTCCCTTTCTCAAGCTGGGTTTATAGTCCTTAAAGCCAGTGGGTTTACTGATAACCTTTTTCTTGCTGTTGTTAATTGCTGGAAGTTTCATATTTGCACCATATGTCTAGGCTAGTTCTGGATGATGGGACTGATGTCACCTGTGAATCATGAGTTGAATGAAGAAAAAAATTTCTTTGTGGCCTTGGCTGTCCACTGAATGGATAGGATGAATAGGATATGCTGAGATAGAGAGATAGAGAGGAAAAAAAAAATCAGTCAGCTCCTAGGTCTGGAAATTATGAATTGGTCATTAGAAATTATGAGAAGTGATTGGTTCGGCTTGGAAGACGTGGGCATATAAAAGCATGGAATGCTCACAGCTGAAATTATCCTTAAACGATAGAAATGGAAGTAAACATTTATTACCATTTCGTCAAGTGTGGCGCGACTCGCACTCGTGTTTCATTGTTAGGAATGGAGGTATGTGGAGGTGTGCACAGACCTTGAGACAGCTGTTTTGTAGTATTGCATACAGGCTAGCAGTTCATTGGAAACAGAGGAGACAAGCCTGAAGGTTAGATCTTAGAGGAAGGCAATTCTTCATGCACAGCTTTTGCCAATTCTAATTTGCTCTGAAATAAAAACCATGGAATACCAAAGTCAACGGAGGGAAAGGAAGTCATCCCGGAAAGGGTGGTGTCACGGTTCAGGATGATGTCAGGCAAAGTTCCACTTCCTCACTCAAGTCCGAAGGTGCTGGTTTCCTCTACCGCTGTTAGCAGCTTCTCATACAACATGGAGTATGAAGGGTATGGGGGCAGATCCAGCCGGTTGAAGCATGTATGTGCCCTGGATGGGGGAGGAAACACTGGTCAGAGTATTTTAAAGACTGCTTCTGGATACATCAATGACTCTAAAGGGGAATCAAAAGTGAGCTAGACAATATTTAGGACAACCACAGAACACTGCAAATGGTGAGCCATGGCCATCGAGACATGACACGTTCAGGACACTGAAGAACCAGAAACAGTTATTAACTGCTGTTTGTAAGAAAACTATACTACACTGTAACCACAGGAGCAAGCCAATGGCCAGCCCTTTGCCACTATCCTGATCTGAAGTTTAACTATGAACTTAGACGTGAAGGAGGCAGGGACATCGTTAGTGCTAAGCATCCTTGCCTCGCTCTGAGTTCTGGGCCTTGCTGAAGAGTTAACAATGCTCTGTAATTCTGAGATCCAATTCTCCACATCAGGTGTGCTCTGAAATAAGCTTAGCTCCTCCATACTAGTATGCAGGACACATGTCAACAAGAGCTTAAGTGACCACTCCCAAGAATAGGTCAGTTGAAGAGTCAGTCCTTGCTCAAGCCTGGGGGGGGGGTGATCTTCCCCACCATTGCAATTCCTGAGGCCTTGCTCAGACTGGGCTTCCTTCTGCAGGCCCAGGGTCTGCACACTCACCTGTGTCTGCCCCCGACTAGCAATGTTCTCTATTACACGGATCACACAGGTGTAGGAAACGCCTATATGGATACCCAGCAGAGAGCGGAGGATACAAAACCACACAGAGTTTTCCCTAATAGCTGTTTCCTGCCAGCAATTCTTTGTTTCTATGGAAACTTGATGCTGGTATTTTGATAAACCATGGAGAAGAGTGTTTTGGTGCAGCTGGAAGTTAATTTTATGCTTTTTTTCTCTTGGGTTGGGTGAGCGGTGTGTTGAAATGGTGTTTATATATCAACCAGAACACACACACACACACACACACACACACACACACACACACAAGACACTAAGCTAAAACAAAATGAAACAAACCCACAAAATAAAAGTAAACTCATCGCTTTAATTTTATTCAGGACATTAAGTGTTTGAATTACAAGATCCCCTGGGGAAGTGTTTACAATCTATACCTGTGTTCTGAATTAAGTAAATTAGGACAAGCCGGCTCAGCACTCAGAATAGTGCAGATTCTTCAAAAGATAAAGAAAGGGATGAAGGAAGAGAGAAGGTGAGGTTTTCTGTTGAGGGAGAATCTGAGGAGAGCATTGGTGTTTTGTCTACCCAACATCCAATCCTGTTTTTGGCAACAACTGCCTCCTGTGTTCACTCAGCCCCACCTTTTCCTGCCTGTCTCTCTGTAGGCTTTAAGGCCTTTACTGGGAGAAAATATGAAATAAATAGATATTAGAAGAGTTCTGTGTTCACCAAATGTCAGGAAGGCCTAGATTACTTCAAAAGAAGACAACTGAAATACTTTAGATACTATCACAATATTTGAAAATAAAAACAAACTCAGAAAACTGGGTGGGGCAAAGATTACAGTGCTTTTCTTGGTGTTTAGAAAGACAGAAAGTAGTCTACCCACTGGACTCTGGCTGACATAATTGGTGGTACAGTAAGACCCCAAGTATGCTTTTGGTGCTAGGTGAACTAGCCTGGAGCAAGGTATGACCAGGCATCGAGGTTTTCTTCCTCTGGTCATTTTTATGGCTATTGTGAGTGTAAATGTAGAAAAGAATCCCATAAAGTAATTAGAATCATATTAATTCTATGGAGATAATTTGCAGGAATAAACAGATTTATAAAGCAGAATGCACTCTGAATGCTCAGTGTCTTCACCGGCTGCTCCTGTTGAGTTCTTCAACCCCTTGGTTAACGTCCCTACATAAGGTCTACCTAGCATCCACAATGAGTTCAGTTAGATTTAGTGTTCCTATATGCACCTAATGCTTCAGCAGTGAGTTTTTATGTTTTGTTTTTCTTTTAAGACTGGGTTTTGCTGTGTAGCCCTGGCTCTCCTGGAACTTGCTTTGTAGACCAGACAGGTCTCAAACTTAGAGATTCACCTTCCTCTGCCTCTCAAGTGCTGGGATTAAAGGCCTGTGCCACCATGCCTGGCTTCTGGTGTGGTTCCTGCAGCTTGGTGTTGGTGTTGGTTAGTGTAGCACCAAGGGAACCAAGGTTTTGCACCCCCAATTCTAACTGCAGGCTAGTCACTTGTCAACTTTATGATCTTGGAAAGTCAGCTAGTCTTTTTTGGATCTCAGTTTTCTCACCTGTGAAATGGGAATAAGAACACACACTATGTGTGCACTTCATGAACAAAACACACATAAACTCCTTTCATACTGTGAATCATTGTTTCAATATAAGAGCTTTTCTATCTATCTATCTATCTATCTATCTATCTATCTATCTATCTATCTATCTGTCATCTATCATCTATCTATCTATCTATCTATCTATCTATCTATCTATCATCTATCATCTATCTACTTTTGGAGACAGGGTTTCTCTGTGTAGTCCTGGTTGTCCTGGAACTTGCCCTGTAGTCCAGACTAGTCTTGAACTCAGAGATCTGCCTGCCTCTGCTTCCTGAGAAACATCTCTTTAAAAACTGTGATTGTGATAATTATTTTAGGAGCTGTATTGGACTTATCTCTTTACACGTAATTTGCTGGGAAGTAAACCATTTGCTTGTCACACCCAATGTTTTGAACACCACAGGATGGAGAACACTCAAATTTTACTCTGTTTAAGTCAATTTAAAGGTTGATGTGGGAGTGTCATAAATCAATCTGTTGATTTCATTGGTTAAGCAATAAAGGAACTCCTTGGCCCTGATAGGTTAAAACATAGGTGGGAGGAGTAAACAGAATAGGATGCTAGGAGGAAGAGGAAGTGAGCTCAGACTCGACAGCTCTGCTCTGGAGCAGAGACGCCATGCTCAGCTCTCCCGGGTAGACGCGATAGCTCCTTTCAGCTCCTACCCAGGATGGATGTAGGCTAGAATCTTCCTGGTAAGCACACCTTGGGGTGCTTACACAGATGATTAGAAATGGGCTAGTCCAGGTGCGAGAATTAGCCTAGAAGAGGCTAGATAGAAATGGGCCAAGCAGTCTTTAAATGAATACAGTTTGTGTGTTGTCATTTCAGGCATGATTAGCAGACGGCCGGGGTGCTGGGGACGCAGCCCCGCCGCTCCTATTTCAACAAAAGGTGTAGAATTTCAGGATGGTTTGGGATTTGGCTTGTGCTAAGTGAATTCACTGATTATTCTCATAATCCTCTATATAGCTGATTTCTCTGAATCTTCTCATTTCCCCAAGTTATCAATCAAAATATTAACCAATACAGTGCCAAAGAAAAGTCTTGCTCACGTCCTCTAGACCACACTTGAAGATGATAAAACCTAACAAAGGAGGTTTAATGTGACTCCAGCTGTGTATTTGTGTCTTCCCTTGCTGAAAACCATCTTTACTCTCTGTCTACAGTCCCATTCAAATAGTATCGTCCTACCTCCTGCTGAAACGATATGTTCAGGTTTGTCAACAACCTTTGGATTCCTACATGCAGAAACTTTGTATTTTGATCATGCTCCCTCCCCAAGCCTAACTCTTCCCAGATCCTCCCCATCTCTCTACCCAAGCAACTTTATATTATCTCTATCTCCTTTTTGAAAAAAATCTACCAAAACAAAAATTACTAATAAGACAAAATTACCAAAACAAAATAAAATGACCCTCTTCCTCCTCCACAAAAAACTATGGAATTTATCTTGTGTTAGCTAACTACTCTTGGGCATGGGTGCCTCTCCTGGAGTATGGTTGATATACTCTGTGATGCTTCTTTGGAGAAGACTGATTTTCCCTTTGCCAGCTGGTATTACAGATGGCTTCTTGGTTAGAGTTGGGACCCCACGCCTACTTTCCCCTCTCGGTGATGGAACTACATCTGATTTGAACTTGTGCGAGTCTTGTGTGTGCTAACACAATCTCTGTGAATTCATATGTGTATCAGTTCCATTGTGCTTGAGAGATTGTGGTGCCATCAAGCCCTCTGGCTCTTACAAGAAGAGCATCTTCTTATAGTAGATATGGGAATTAACACACAGACCCAAAACTGGGCAACATGTAGAGAACACTCAGTTCTAAATGGGACCAAGCACTCAGCCCTAAAATCATGTACACACAAGCAACACTAAATAAACTCAGGAGGTTATATTTCTATATATGTATGTAAGAGTAATAAAGAAAAAAAGAAATCATGAATCTGAGAGGGAAAAGGGAGACCATGGGGGCTGGAGAAAAGAAGGGAGAGAAATGATGAGATTATATTTTAATTTAAAAAATCAAATCAAAATTCTAAAGGGAGATTATAATTTCATTTCTGCAGGGAAAAAAATTTTAAAACCTAGGAAGTACACAACTCAAAAGCTTCAGGCATTCCCTGAAACTGATGCACATAAGCAGTAAGGGCTGTTGAAAGATGCTCTCAGGTCAGCCAAGATGTCCTGAAGAGGCCGAGGCTAACTGAACTGCCTGGAACAAACACTTGCAACTCTACTGAGCTACATGCAAGTTGTGCACTCCACATTTCTTGCCTTAGTGAGCCATTCTGCGGTGGGTTTTTGGTGACGCATTTGTCCGAGTCATTTCTGCTCCTGTAAGTAACCTCTCACTCACGTACCTCTATCTCCAATAAAAGTCATTGGCTCACAAAGTTGTGCTCTGGTGGTATCATTCCTTCGATCTGTTTTCAGATCTTTATTTGGTGTGAGCAGACATTTGGTCAGTTCTTCTCAGGAATAGAATCACTCAATACTCACCAACATCATATGAACTGTTATATGAGGAAAGCACAGAAGTCTGGGAAAATTAGATGAAAGCTATACTTCATTAATAGTTCAATTATATAGATTTAGCAAAGGTATTTTGGTGCTGCTGAAGCTTATATATGATCAACAATGAAAAGTTCACTAGGAATATAGTCTCAGCCCATGTCTTAGAGGCACCTTACTTACATCTTTAACTAGTAACTCAAAAAACAATGACTGGCAAGCAAGAATTCTATCTTAAAAGATGATCCCCCAAACTCAAATAGCAAAGCATGCAGGCTGGCGGGAGCTCTGTACCTGGGAAGAGATGTAATTTTCCCCCACTTCTCGATGCAGAACCGTCGAAGTCCATTGCTTCCCCGCAAAGCTGCAAAGCCTTCATAGGGCACACTCGATGTTCCTGTCACAAACTGGAGTAATCTCAATCTCTGCTCATTGTTGAACCGTTCTACCGCAGCCCAGAACCAGCGGATCACAAGGTGGCTGTCATGATAACCTGGTTAAAAAAAAAAAAAAAGAGGTCGTGGTGAGGAGAAAGGGAATGTGGAGGAAGGAGGAAGAAACAGATGTGTTTTGATTCTGCTGCTGATGGCATTTAGATAGGCAGGTCTAAATTTATATAACTTGGTTAAGTTTTAAAACAAGCAGTTTTAGATAATAGCAATTTTACAAAAGAGCTGGGTATTTGAGAAGTTTCTTCTGAGGTATTTATCTAAACAACTGCAATACAACCTAAAATAGCCCAGCCTTATATGAGTATAAGTAATGAACAAAAGGTTCAACAAAGACAGAGCATCTATGTTTTCTTTTTTCTGATGTCTTAGCTCTCAGAAACAATATAACATAGGAGAGTCTGGGCTTTAAGATCAGAGAGAGGTAACATGCAAAGTTGGCTGAAGACGATAGGTTCCAAGCAGTCATGACTGCCCCCCAAGAAAAGCTTGTATCCACCACACAGTTGTTCTCTGAGTCAGCCTGGGCTGGGAGCTGCTTTAAGGCACCATTGAGGAGGCTAGGCTTGAGAGATACAATCATGACAAGGGAAGAGGCATTTGAAGAGAAGGGACACAATGTGGGTAGAAACTGAGAAAGCTTCGTGAAGGAAGCAGGAATGCGTTTGTGTAGTGGAGCAAAGAGAAAGGACATTCTTAACAGAAGAAATAGATAATGAAAATGAGGAAACCATGAGGCATCAGGAAGTCAGCTCACACAAATTATCTGTAGAGTCTGGAGGTCAGGGGATGCTGGGACCTTAGGAGTCTTACTGGGTCGGTAGAATACTTAGGCCAGCAGTTTTCTTAACTGATCTGCATGGCAATTTCAAGCGGGTTTTACAACTTAGTGATTGAAGGAGGCTGAGCTGGTGTCTGAAGCACGATTAATAAAAACTGAGAGAGAGAGAAATTGGGGTTTAACCTGAGGTCAGGAAAGTAAAACAGCCCAGCCACTGGCTCTTACCTTTACCTCAGTCCGAAATGGCGATTCTGCCTCCAAGAATCTCAGAATGAGCCTGAGCCTGAGAACTGTCTCCTCCCACTTTATAAACCTTTTAGAGTTTATAGACGTGTGCCACTACTACCCAGTTTCTACGGCAACGTGTGTAGCTATTGGGATTAAAGGTGTGTGTCACCACTGTCTGGTCTGTAAGGCTCACCAGGGTGGCTCTTTTACTTTCCCAACCCCCAGGCAGGCTTTATTTATTAAAATACAAATGAAATGCCACTCCAGGTGTCCCTTTGCTCCCCCCCCCCCCTGTTACACTGGTTGGGATTTCTCTCTAATATTTTACCTGAAAAGAGAAATTTTGAGGCCAAATCTTACCAAAGTCTTCTGTGAGTAATAAGGCTGTGTTTTGGGGGGGAAAGATAACGGTCTGGTCTGATGCAAGTGATGTTTGCAAGGGTACAGAGGTATCCATATTCTGCATTAAGGATTTCTTATGCTAATCCCATGCTGAAATAGTATTTTGGATATATTAAATTAAAAGACATAAATTGCAGTTGCTTGTTTGTACTTTTTCTAATATGGCTATTAAAAAATTTAGTTAGTGCCAGGTGTGGCGGCACATGCAAAATTTAGGCTGCAGAGGCAGGAGGATCTTTGTGAGTTTGAGATCAGCTTGGTCTACATAGTTCTAAGTCAACCAAGGGTGTACAAATAAACAAACAAATGTAAGAAAGAAAGAAATTCAAAACTATACACGTGGTTCATATTCTCTTTCTGCCGTAGATGACTAATCTAAAGTTTCAGGTGTTCTGGGGCAATAATCCCTATATCAACATGAAATAGTCATACTGTAAGAATCACAGTCTGTGTTGTTAAGAAATGGTGAATATAATATGGACAGAAATGAGCTTGATTCATTCAGACCAAAGGGAAGTTCACACATGACTCAGTAAATAACTTCTTAAATTATGAAGAGAGGAAAGAGAGATAGAGAGAGATATAAAGAGATAGAGAGAGAATAGTTAGAACTCTGTGGAAGCAAGCATGGACCGAGGCAAAGCAGGTTAAAATTCTCCAGGAAGCGAGAGATGTTTCTCTGACAGGGCACAGGCTACTCAAGAGCTCACACACAGAAGGTGTGCTATCTGTGTGCTTTTACACAGCCACGCCAGGGGCAACTGTTGTCTGAAAGAAGTTCAGCTAGAAGCTGTGCAAATAGCTATTTTGTACTGAAGTAAGGATAAGTCTTTGAAGGTTTAGAAAAGTGATAAACAGGGCTCGGGATACTCATTAGTGATACAGCATTTGCTGAGGAGGCACCAGGCCTTAAGTTTAATCCCCAGAATGGCAAATGTGTGAACTACGCAATGGATTACTACTTAGTTATACAAAAGAATGAAATACTGGATCATGCCACAACATGGATGAATCTCAAAAAAGTATAATAAGTCAAAGAAGGCAGAACAGGGACCGTGTTTTGTATGGCAGTACTTCTGTGATATTTCTAGAATTGTAAGTCTACTGAGACAGAGTAGAGATGTCCCCGTGTCTGAACATGGAAATGAGGGGTGAGAATAGCTGCTTGATGGGTACAACCTTTCTTTAGACGACGAAAGTATTTTAGACCCAGGTAGAAGTCACTGTTACACAGAATTTTGAACGCACTAAATATTATTGAATTGTTTATTTTAGGATGGGCCAGTTTTACACTGTATCAATTTTATTTCAACAATTTTTTTTTTCTTTAAAACATTTCTTATCAAAAGTGCTGCTGCTCACCTCCCCGGTACTCGGTGTTATTCCTCCAGTCGTTCAGGTCGATTTCGGCAGTACCAGCAATCACCAGCTCCAGCTCCCTTGCATCAAACACGGAGACGAGCCTTGAGTCGACCACCTGGAAGACAATAGCATCAGCACAGGAGGAGGTGGTTACTGTTGTTGCTGTCAGGCTGGGAAAGTGACTATCATTTACCACTTGCCCTTTGAAAGGCAGCCATTTCCAAATTCAAGATCATGGCGGTTCTCTTAACACTCATCTCTCCTATCTTACTCACGTGTTAGAATCTTTACCCCCAGCTCTCTGGAGCCTTAAATGATGTAATTGCATTATAATCTCAAAATGAGATCACGAGGCCCTGAGGCAGGGTTAGTGCCCCTAGAGAAGACGCACACTGACAGGAGGCAAGAAGCTGTCACCTGGAACCTGGGTCCTTAGCAACAGAATCTGCCAGCGTCTTGATCTTGGACTTGCCCGTCTCTAAGATTGTGGGAAACAGATTCCTGGTGCTTAGAAGATGCCCCGTCTATGCTCTTTACTACAGAAGCCCCAGCGGTAGTCACCAACTAGCATGTTAGAACACAGTCCCTCGTGGGCTGGGAACAGAGGGAAAAATCCCATGCTTCTTAGCATTTCAGACCCTTCCTGATTTCACTAACAATCCCAGCTTGATTTTCTGAAGTCATATTTACGTTTTCAAGTTATATTGCAGGTCTCCAGTGCTGCCCGCTTTGGACCAACAAGTGGTGGGCACTGAATTAGAAAAGAAACTCCTAAACTGAATTTCTAAATTGAAGTATAACGACACATTTTTGGGGACGGGAAGTCTGTCTGTCTTCTCAACGTCCTGCTCAGCCTGACGACATGTAGCAGAACAGACGCCCAGCAGGAGAGGCTAGTACCCCCTAGTGCTTCTGCTTACTCTGCTTCAGTGGACTGAGGGAAACGCCACATCCGCCTAGCTACCCAGGAAACACTGGATGCTTCCTCACCTGGCACAACAGGGCCAAACCAATGACAATTCTCTGAGAATATTTAACTTCTGACAGGGCTTGTATTCACGAAGTCTGGCTGTCCATCCCTCCGGCCCAGCTACACGTTCCACCCACTCTGGGCGTGAGACCTTAAACCTTGCCTCTCTCGCTTCTTTCTCTCTGTTCCGAGCTACTGAGGTTCTGCTCCTCACTGAGCTCCAGGAGAGGCACAGGTTCCACAGCGGAGCACTGTGGCCCACTTTCCTAGGTCACCTGGGGTCTTACCTCGTAGAAGCCCCTCACCAAGGCTTCGGTCTGCTGCACCACACCGCGCTCCACCCGCCACTTCACCATCCTCTCAATGTACTCCTTTTTGTTCTTCTCAGTCACCTGCGTGTTGGCGCCTCCAGACTTCAGCTCTCTCTCTGTTACCTTGCAAGTAAACGGGAGGCTCGTTATGCCTATCAGCCAGCTTGTCTCCCGAGGAGACATTTTTGTTTAGGGCGACAGCGCAAAAAGGCCCTTTTCTTTCCCTGGAAGTTACCAGGAAAGTTTTCGTTGTTGGAACCCCATTTTAAAATATCTTAGAAGAGCTATACTCTCAACACTACGGCCAGGTATTCGATGTCTCTGAATCTCAATTAGGGCAGCAGATTGCGGCTGTTACGCGGCAAGCCCCGGCAAGCCCTTCCTTGGGCACCCAATGAGAAGAAGAAAAGCAGAAGCAGGTAGAAAGGTTTGTTTCTCTGAGCTGGCTGCAAACATGGCCAGGAAGCAGACCACGAAGGAGCAGAGCCGTCTCCACTCAGCATGCGCTCATGCCTCAAAAGGCAAACTCATCAACCGGGAGCTAGGCTCTGTCTGCTGCTTTTCATGTACTAGAGATATAAAAATATACTCCATATGTTTTTCTAAGCTAATATACACACATAAATATATACATAACATATACATATACAGCATATACTCTGTTATTCATTATCTTTTTCTCTGAAAAATATATCTCAGAAATGTTTTATCAGTTTAGATATCATTAACCCATCCTTTGCTGTTAGCAGTGTTCTCTATTGGTGTTTTATGACTTAGTATGAAATTTGAATGGGTCTCCCACCCATTTGGCCAACAGATTTAATATTATATTAGTAAATTCTTGCAGCAAATACATGGGAAATTTCTTGTTATGCAGTATTGAGACCTATGCATACTGGAGGACTAAGTGGATGTAGTAAAAGAACTATTACATAGTTTTGAAGATACCTTGTATCTTATGGTATATTTGGATTGTTTAATGATCCATGGTTATATTTGATTTTCAAAACCCCTGCATAGGGTAGAGCCATATCATGTTGTAGGACCATCAAAGTCATGGAAGGAAGGAAGAGCTCTGGCAGTGCTGTTCAAAAAAAAAGTCCTGGGGCTGGGGAGGGGGCTCAGCAGGTGAGAGCACTTGCTGCTCTTGCAGAGGACATTGGTTTGAACCAGTGAGATTCTTGTTACCTAATTTAAAAATAAAATCCCATTAAAGTATGACTCAACACTCCTATACCTGAAATTGCTTATATGAGCACATGCGATACAAAAGGACTGGGAAGTATGGGGCAAACCAGATCTCTGGTCATTAATGTCATCAGCAACATTAGTCACAATAACCACCAGGATGACAGAAACAGATACTTGTTTAAACTATCTAGAGTCAAAATCATAAAATAGAAATTATCTGGTATTTCCCAGGAGTTAGGGGGTGGGAGGAATTAAAGGGTATGGTTTAATCGGTAGAGTTTCAGTTTTGCAAGAATTTCTAGAGATTGGATGCCAAACCATGGGAATGCACTTAAGAGCGCTGCAGTGTGCACTTAAAACCTTCTAAGATGGCTAAGCTTTTTTTTTTTTAGCTTTAACCATAGCAAACAACAAAATGTCTTTTCCAAGTCCACATCACACAAACCTGTCCAAAAACTTCTTCATTAACAGTGAAGGTGAGATCGAGAATATCTGTGATGTTATTGTCCTTCATCCACTGCAGACTTTGGTGGAATTCCTCATCTAAATATTCTAGGTCGCTCAAATCACAGGGCCTGGGAGAGTCAAAGGCAGCAAGAAAATGAGTGAACAAAGGTCTTCCGGACCTCATTCCAAACCTGATTATGCTTATTTTCAATAAAACACAATCGGTTTCATAATTACTTGATAATTCTGAGTACATTGACGAAGCAGTAATTCAATAGTTTTAACTTATTCAATAGTTTCCCTTAGAAAAGAAACTACTAAAGTTTCAATAATAAAAAATGAAATAATTATTGACTCATAGGTAACTAAAAAACAAGTCAGTTCTACTCAACAATGTAATACAATATTCACAATGTTACCATTTCTATATAAATGAACTAATGTCCATTATACAGTTTAGTTAATAGAGTAATTTCTTTTCCTCTTCTTTCTTTCTTTCTTTCTTTCTTTCTTTCTTTCTTTTCTTTTCTTTTCTTTTTTTTAAATATTTTATTATATACAGTATTCTGTCTGCTTGTATGCCTGCAGACCAGAAGAGGGTGCCAGACTTCATTACAGATGGTTGTGAGTCACCATGTGGTTGCTGGGAATTGAACTCAGGACCTTTGGAAGAGCAGGCAACGCTCTTAACCTCTGAGCCATCTCTCCAGCCCCCTTTCTTTTCTTTCTTTCTTTCTTTCTTTCTTTCTTTCTTTCTTTCTTTCTTTCTTTCTTTCTTTCTTGATGTGGGAGTGTCATATATCAATCTGTTGATTTCATTGGTTAAGTAATAAACCAACTGCTTGGCCTCATAGCTTAGAACATAGATGGGAGGAGGAAACAGAATAGAATTCTGGGCGGAAGAGGAAGTGAGGTCAGACTCTGCACTGCTTCCAGAGGGACCGGACAGCTGCCATGCTCTGCTCTCCCAGGCAGCTGCAACCCACGATGGACTTAGGCTAGAATCTTCCCGGTAAGCGCACCTTGGGGTGCTTACACACATCATTAGAAATGGGCTAGTCCAGGTGCAAGAATTAGCCTGTAAGGGCTAGAGTTCATGGGCCAAGCAGTTCTTAAATGAACACAGTTTGTGTGTTGTTATTTCGGGCATGAGCTAGCCAAGCGGCAGGGTGTTGGGGACGCAGCCCCGCCGCCGCTCCTATTTCAACACTTTCTTTCTTTCTTCTTTCTTTCTTTCTTTCTTTCTTTCTTTCTTTCTTTCTTTCTTTCTTTCTTTCTTTTTTTTGGATTTTCGAGACAAGGTTTCTCTGTAGCTTTGGTGCCTGTCCTGGAACTAGCTCTTGTAGACTGGGCTGGCCTTGAACTCCCAGAGATCCACCTGCCTCTGCCTCCCGAGTGCTGGGATTAAAGGCGTGCACCACCACCGCCCGGCAATAGAGTAATTTCTTATACCTACATAAAGTCTCCCAATGTCATTTTATTACACTACAAGGTATGGAAAATGTATAGGCACTCAGAACAAGAAATAGATGGAAACTTATTAGAAATGGTTGGAGCCAAATTAGCAAAAAGGCCAGAGACATAAGAAAGGTCGGCGCTGTCGTCCTGCAGAAAGCCTGGGCAGAATCATCCTACAGGACACTTACAGCTTCAGGAGTCCCTTGTAGAAGGGCCTTGTAAAGAAAGCATCCAGGAGATACTGATGGATCAGAGCCAGTCCCAGGATACGACCACTAAATCTGAACCTGCAACACAGATAAGGCAGGGAAGTGTAAGAGTCAGTAGGAATTTACATTACTAAGAATCTTCATTTGTACTATTTTTTAAATTTGTATTTTTATTGAAGCTTTATTTATGGGAATCGAGGTTGAACCAAGGGCATCACATGTCCTAAAATATGTGCTGTACCACAGGGCATCCCTTCACCCGGTTCAATGAGTTCTGTATAGTATTCATCTTAAACAGCTCAATGAATCTGCCCATTGATGATATAAGGAGACATCAATTCTTCTTCATATTTTTTACCATAAACAACGGTCATGTGGTTTGGATGTCCTAAACAAAACTTTCTGTGTTCCAAGATCAGACTACTGTTACTTATTTAAGAAGAGGAAATGCTGAGGAAGGGAAATTGAGGAATCTGAAATATAAAACCCAAGTTAGACCCAAAGAGAATCTAGACCCAAGAAAACAGAAACCCGTCTCTCTGAACAATGTGTTTGTTTAGATATTTTCTAATGTCATTCCATGCTGGAGGTGGAGGCTTGACTATCAATCACAGACGGCCGTTAGTATTCAAAGACAGTGGGAGACAGTTCCATGCAATCACAATGTGATGACAGGGAACCTGACCGACCATTGTTATTCAATATTGCCAGCTACACCATCAAAGAACAATGTGATTGCTAGGAAGAACCGGTCGTGGAGACCCTGCCACCTACAGATATAAAGGCCCTTACTAATTTCAATCTTTGTTGAAGCAACTTGTTTTCTAGAGAACTGCTTGGCTGAGTTGCAAGGCTACCTGTAGCTTGCCCTCAATTTGGCTGCTCTATGGAGTTTCCTGTCTGCCTGGTCTACCGTCCTGTGCTATGAAGGCTTTGCTCTTTCTGCCCCTAACTCCAAAACTGGGGTACACCTGTTTTCTTTCTAATTAGGTTCTCACCTAACCATGGCCTTTTCTGGCTCCAGAGGAGGTAGGTGGCGTATCTATAGATACAGCCGCCACTATGGCTTAGGAGTGTCTGTCCCTAGTGAGGCCCAGTTAGGTGACTCTTCCAAATGGGTTTGAATCCTTAGAATTTGTCAGAAGCTGATTTTGTAGCTGATTTTTGTGTTTGTATTCCTGAAGATAATGGAGTATTTGCAAACTCTGAAGACAGTGTGCCTGGTTTTGAGGCAACTTCTTTGCCAGGTGTTCATGCATCTGCCCTGGCCTCCCAGTCATTGGTGAGACGATACTGACATCTTTACTCAAGACAAGTCTCAAGTCCACATGTGGCTCTCCACCCAGCGGCTTTTCCGGTGGACTAGGTCAGCCCCAAAGGGGTCCTCACCAGAGGACTGTGGCTCATTCCCATCTTCGTGTTGTTGTTAAACTAGTTTATTTTATTTTTATACTTTGAAATTCATAAACGTATACAGCGCATCTTAATCATAGGTGCCCCATACTTCCTCCTTCTAGGCTATCTCTTCTTCTAGCTCATAATCTCAAAAAAGGATAATAATTTTAAAAAGAAAAATAAGAGGACTTAAGTATTATTGCATCATTTCCCCCTTCCCTTTCTTCTCCCTCCAAACTCTCCCACATAATATCCCCTCCCCACTTTCTTTCAAATCCATGGCCTCTTTTTTATTAATTGTTGACAAGCACGCATGCACACATGCACACACACACACACACACAGCCACCAAGTCCATATGCACATGGCTGTGGGGTTATGCACTGGCTCAGGCATCCTGCCAGGGGCAACACTTTCTAGAAAAGTGCCGCTTCTTCCCATTGCCATCATCAACCACCAACAGCTACTCAGTTTGGTGAGGCCTTAGGAATACATCCCACCTCCATGCCGGAATTTCTGGTCAGTTTATTCTACGCAGGTCTTGGACAGCTAGCCAGAGTTGCTGTGAGTTTGTATGTGTAAGGGACATGAATAGCTCTGGGAAGCATTCAGCGACACATCTGTGATTTCACTGACATTCTTAATCTTTGAAATCTATGCCTTATAGGAGTATTTTAAGTAGACAATTAGGCTATTTTATACCAATTGACAGTTGTTATAACATCAATGCCTTTGGTAATTTATCTTATGTTCTCTATAGCTTTTTTTTTTTTTTTGGTTTTTCAAGACAGGGTTTCTCTGTAGCTTTGGAGCCTGTCCTGGAATTCCCTTTGTAGACCAGGCTGGCCTCGAACTCACAGAGATCCTCCTGCCTCTGCCTCCCAAGTGCTGCGATTAAAGGTGTGTGCCACCACTGCCCGGCTCTATAGCTGTTTTTTATTCTTATGATCCAACCATTCCTGGCTAACTGCTCCATATCAGTTACTGGAGAGAAATGCCGCTAACTTTTGACTAAGCAATTTTTAACCACAAAAGAGTCAAGATTAGGGAGCTTACCATTCGAGATAGTTTTCTACAAACGCCGACATGGGGCTGATCTGCACCGTGTAAGTGTCGTTTGCAGAATACTCAAAGAGTCCATAGTAAGGGTTGAAGAGCTCCTGAGACAAAAGGAAGAAGAACTCTCGAGAAGGGCCACTGTAGTCCAGGCTGCAAAGGAAACACAGGTCCAGGAAGTTCACCTTTGTGACAGTTTCTTATCCAGATCCTAGCAAAGGTCTTTCAGGTATGGGGCCCGAGAAGCAGAGAGCAGTCTCCCCTCTTTATAGCGAACTCCAAGAGGAGGTGTCAATTTGTAGTAGAAAATGAAGGTGTAGTCATTGTTTTTGTTTTTTTGTTTGTTCGTTTCTTGAGACAAGGTTTCTCTATGTAGTCCTGGCTGTTCTGGAACTTGCTCTGTAGACCAGGCTGGCCTTGAACTCACAGAGATCCATCTGCCACTGCCTCCCAAGTGCTGGGATTAAAGGTGTGGGGTGCCACTGCCTGGCCATGGTTTGGGATATTTTTAAGCAAATGTCTATGAATAAACTCTTGTGATAGTTGTCTTCAAACGTCCCCCTTTTGGTCATCAAATATCTATAGGACAAAACACACTGCTGGCCCATTGCAAACAAGGTCTTACTGTGAAGCATAGGAAAAATTTCCTGCAAAAGTATATGTTTTCGTTTGTGTGTATGTGTGTGTTGTGTGTATGTTTTTATGTGTGTATGCATACAACCTTATAAGTGCATCTTCCCTTGCCTTTTAGGTAGCTACATCACACACTTAGGTGATTCATAAAGTCACAAAAAGCACACAAAAACTTTGGCATATAATTTGATATATCCATTCTGGAAGGAAGAGGTTCACCCTCCCCTCAGGAATTTACTCCACCTACAAAGCAAATGTCCAGCATTTCAGGATTTTAATTTGTACTATACTTTGGCCATAGGATCTCAGACTCTGGGACATGGCAATAACCCTTTTTCCTTTTTATTTTCTTTCTTTTTTTTTTCTTTAAAGAGCAAGGCTTGACAATGCCTGGGAAGAGAAAAAAGCTTACTGATAAGATACGCTCTGAGTTACTTTAGGCAAGTGTTCATAGCTACTCTATTCTTTCCCGAGAGAAATTACCCCTCACTCCTGGGATTTGATTTCCCCACACTGATCTCTCTGTGTGAAGCTCCCGGTGCCTCACCCCTCTTCTCCAACAAAGGTGATGTAGAGCTTGTTTCTCTGGAGCTCCTTCCGGGAGTATGCCATCACCTGGTTGAAGGTCCCCTCCAGCAAGTGGTCTCGGCGGATAATGAGCCTGAGAATAAAAGGTATTGGTGAACAGAAGCATTGAAGTGGGTGCTGAGCACTGTTGTATGTGAGCCGTGGGTGCTCATTAGTACGGCTTCACTCATTGGCTTCTCTAATGAGAGAGGAGTGAACAAGGGAGAGGTTCTATTAGTCTAGTACTGGGTTTGATACACTCAAATTACTGGCACACAAAGAATATATGAGCATATGGATGCTTATCTTTGGACATTCTCAACTGCATTTAAAAATGTTTTTCTGTCAATTGGTATCCTGTCTCTTAGGTTAGAAGGTGTCTTCAATTAGGATTTTAAGTTTGAGCTCAGCTTTTTAGCTAAAATAACAAACCCAGGGTTCAGGTAACACCTACTTGGAATTCCTTGCAAAGTTGCTAAGCATTCACAAATGCGAGAAATGAATTAAAATTTGCCTTGATTATATTATTATTGGTTTTCCAAGACAAGGTTTCTTTTTATAATAGTCCTGGCTGTCCTGGAACATGCTCTGTAGAACAGGCTGGCCTTAAACTAACAAAGATCCATCTGCCTCTGCCTCCCGAGTGCTGGGATTAAAGGCGTGCACTACCACTGCCTGGTTCAGTTACTCTTACATGAATGGAAATAGAGCATTTTATCTGAGTTTAAGGGTCTTTGTTTTCTGTAAAGGTCTATTGTTGATCTCATGTACCTGTTTGTCTTATGTTTATAGTTCTTTTCATTTTTTCCTCCCCTTTCCTGTCTTTTTCCTTTCTCCCAAGTACCTGAACACTTTTCCTTTTTCTCTTCCAACTTTCTAATTTTCCTATTCCTCTCTTTCAGGCCATTAAGTGTTAATATATATATATATATATATATATATATATATATAATATTCAATGATGCAAAAAGTGAATAGATAAGAAAGGCTATTCCCTTAATTTAGGACCAAATACTAGATACTCACTTAATTTTACCCGGGCCCTGACCAAATCCTTTGGCTTCCAGTTTTCGGTAGAAATTGCGTAGCTTAGCTTCAAAATCCCTTCGGTATGGTGAAGGGGCTCTGGCGCTGGCTCTCTGTAAACCTGTAGAGAGAAGCAGACAGTCCATGGTCGTCTTTCTCGTCCGAGAACAAACGTGCAGAGAGAGTAGAGCAAGTGCCCCCTGAAGCAGGGTCCTAGCCTTTGCGGGCATCTAAGGAGCCGCTCTCATTGCCGCCACTCTCAGTTGCTTCTATAATAAACTGCAGTAATGTAGGAAAATAGAAAATGGATTCTGATGGGAATGTTTTTATCTTCCTCTGAAATTATTTAAGTCGTGTTAAGTTCTATTAAAAGCACCTCCATGGAAATTACCTTGACTCACTTAGTATTTGAGTAATTTGAGAGTATTAACATAAAATGAACTAAATACAAGGTTTTTTTTGTAAGCTGCCATAAGAAGACTAGAGGCAGCATGAGGCAAGAGGCCCTCGGCATGTGCATTTTCCATGCCTCTACATTGCCACCGATGCTGGAAGAAAAGAAACATGCTGAGACACGAGGACTCAAGCACTTAGGGGTTCATATTAGATCAACATTTAATAAACCGTGTAACTGAATATGGAAGCTGTGGAGAAGTTTTCTGAACACACAACTACCAAAAGTTAATTCAGAACCAAATGGATCCTAGGTGCATCCTGCAGTTCTCTCCTGTGCATCCCAGAACGTCGTTGCGGCCTCGGTCTGGACACACCACCCGTACACTCTGTCCCCCCCCCCCCCCCCCCCCCCCCCCCCCCCCCCCCCCCCCCCCCCCCCCCCCCCCCCCCGCCTACCCGTGCTCGCTCTCACATGAACAAGCGTGGGAAGATTCCTAGAATCATTACTTAGAAATAATGAGGTTTGATTTTAGTGCTTCACTTGGGCATGATGGAACACCCCTGCAATCTCAGTATCCTGGAGCTGGAACAAGATAGTCATGAGCTTGAGGCTAGCTTGGGCTGACTAATTCAGCTCTATCTCATTTCCTTTCTCAGTTATCTAGAAACATGAACAAGTCCCACTGTAGCTTGGGGCAATCATAAAAACAGCCAGCAGTTTGTCAACACCTAATTTAGAGTGTATTGTTGATGAGAAAACTGAACGGGATGAAGAGAGAACACACACAGAAACACAGAAGAGAACACACACACACACACACAGCTGTCTTATCTTGAATTCCCTTTCAGTTGGTGAAAACACACACGAGCACTTAGATGACACCAGGCCGGAATTTCAAGTTACCTGGGGAGTTCTGAGGTGAGGAGCAGGGGGAACAGCGAGGAGAGAAGCTATACCCAGGGTGGAAGGCAGATTGCAGGGGAACATAGGACATGATCTCTTCTTCAAAGAGACTATGAAGGTTAAAAAGAGGAAAGTTAGTTGTCTGTCCCATGAGAAAGTATGCACAGATTGTAGAAGAGCAGTTAGCATTCCCACTTGCAAATTCTCCGGTTCTTGAATCTATTAGCCTCATCATAAAGTCTCCATCAAGAACTTTACAGCCCCAGTGCTCTGTCTGGCTCTGCGTCCAGAGATAAGGATGCACAGCAAGGATTGTTAAGACTGTCAATCATGGACAGAAGCTCTACTTCTGAGATCTAGAACAAGTGGAAAGTGTTTGGTTCTCATCCTTTTTAGGGTGCCAAACGCTTTCCCAACCTCCCCACCCCTCCTCTACGGTAGCTTTCCAAGGTCTCAGGTCCAACCCCTTACCTCAGCAAAATGACCAGATCAGCATCACAGGACAATTTCTCCAGCCCATGGTTACCCTCTGTCCGAATATAATGGATTTTCTCCCTAGAACCAAATTTGAAAAGAAAATGAGAAATACATAGCAACTGAAAAGCCAAGGAATACATAAATAATTTCAGATTTATTTTTTAATCCCTTTTTGCAAAATGACTAACAACTTCCCCCAGTGCATTTCATAGTGCTCAAAGGTCATCTGAATTTTCGGGAAGCTTTGGGTGGCTTTTCTGAGATTCACACAAGAGTCAGAAGTTGAGGAGGCCAAGTAAAGTCAGAGTCTGGTTGAGATAGACAAGAATGGAGTAAGGCCGAGGAGGTTGTGAAAAGACAGCTCTTGGCTTAAGGCACATTGGGAGCCACAGGAGGACAAGGGGAAGCTGTCTGAAGAGAAATCTTGTGCCTGATACAAAGTGTATAATGCCATGCTGAGAACAGAGAGAACCAAGCCTTTAGAACTACAAGGGCATCCAGATTTAGTGAAAACATAGACCTCAATCTATCTTTCTTTAGTTACAGCTTACCCATTCTGATTTCCAGCTCTAATCTGGAAAATTATTTCAAGTAAGTCTATAGGTAGGAAGTATTTATTTTGCTCACATTGACTTTCAATTTGCTTCCCTGATAATACCAACACCACTGCTCGTTCCATATATGTGTGCTCTGAATAAGTTAAAGTTTGCCTTTTGCAGTTAAATTTGACAAAAATTAAGAGCTGATTTTATTTTTAAATATTTAACTTTTAATTTAAAATTTTATTTTGATATAAAATAAGGCACATGTGTAATTAAAATAGAAATCAAAGAGACTTTATTTACCCTTCATTTAGTTTACCCCAGTAGGGAATACTGCCATTGCTTTCTTCCTGACAGTGACTCCATATATATATATGCATTTACTTAAGCTTTCAATTTCACGTCTTTATTTTTTTGAGAAGTTAATTTATGAGCACGGTCCTTATATCATTTCCACCACCCTCTCTCCCCCTCCAGTGGCTCCTATGCATCTCCACTCCCTCTCAAATTGAAGACTTTTTTTCTTTAACTAGAATTGTAGAATGGAGATTCTTTAAGGTAAGGGGTTTCTACTAAAATGCACAAACTGTTGCTGAACAGAGGACGATGCCTTGGGATCCAACTGCCGCGCACTGCGGCCCCGGTCTGTGCTCTAAGCGCTAGACACCAGTTCGCAAGCTTCGGGAAAGGGGCTGGAGGTTGAGAATACGCATACAGAGACAGACGGACACGCAGACCTTTTGACACTAATACCAAAGCCCCAAGAATGCCCCCTTTATTGTGTTCAGGGGCAAATTATATAGAGATAGCCACGCCCCAGCCAAACCCACCAGAAACCACTCTGCTGCCATCAGGAACGCCTGGGGGGCTCGTGCTCAGAGCAGCTGTAGGCACTCAGATCAGGGGAAAACAAGTTGTTGACAAGAAATTCAGGATCTGGGGTCTCACTGCTCCCAACATCCAACCTCAATAGAGGTAAAGTATCAGTGCAGTAATTGCTATAAGCAGAACCTAGGGGTGTTCACAGTGGCTTCTCTAACTGGGACTTGGAAAATAAAACAGGCTGGTCTATAAACTTTTCAGGGAGTGAAAGAAGCCTATCTTCTTAACTATCTACTTAAAATCACATTTAATAGATATAAGTAAGTCAGTGCATAAACATTCATATATAATTTAAATGGAAATTTTCTCATTTAGGCTGCAATGCTCCTCTGAGAGCCAAAGACCATCAAACCAGGCATAGAAGCCCTCTTTTGAGTTGCTGGTCCGGATTGTCAAGAGATTCCCCAAAACACAGGTAAGTGCTACTGCCCTTGGTTGTCCTGCAGAGGCGGAAGGTAAGCCCATTTGCTAGAGACACCACATGTTCTTCTGAAATGTGAACCCCAGGGCCCTGAGACAGATCTGACCTGAAAGCTTCCTTCCTGAGCAATAGCTTTCATGGTACCAGAAATCACCACCAAAGCTTTCAAAGGAGAAAGGCAACTAACAGTTCTACCCAGTTGTGATGCCTCTGAACTACAACAAGGACCAGCATGGCATGATAATCCTAAGGTCATGGAGCGCTCATACCTTGGTGGTAAGCAGAAGATGTATAATTGGACTTGAGACCTGCTCAACGAGGGAAATCGTGTTGGGACAATCATTGTGGTAAGAGGAAGCCCATAGAGTTGGAGAGAAGCTTTGACTGCTATATACTTACAGAAGATCAATACTAGAATATGTAAAGTACTTAAACAGGCAAAAAAAATCAAATGACCCATTTAAAAATGGGCCTGGGACATGAACAAAGAATTTTTCAAAAGAAAAAAGATATAAGATAAAGGATAAAGGATATGAGATAAAGAAAAAGGACAAGTATAAAACAGAGACTGCTTGTTCCTTTCCTGGCCACCCAGACCCAAACAATCACACAAAACTATATTAATTACAACACTGTTTGGCCAACAGCTTAGGCATATTCCTAGGTAGCTCTTACATCTTAAATTAACTCATTTCTATTTATTAATCTGTGTATTGCCACTAGGCTATGACTTATCAGTAAGGTTCTGGCATCTTTCTCCTTCAGAAGCCATCTTTCTCCCTATGTTCAGTTTAGTTTTCCTGCCTAACTATATTCTGCCCTGCCATAGGCCAAAGTAGCTTTTTTATTAAACAATGGTAATAAAACATATTCATAGCATACAGAGGGGAATCCCATATCATCTCCCCTTTTCTGTCTAAATAGAAAGGAAGGTTTTTAACTTTAACATAGTAAAATTACAGATAACAAAACAGGTATCAAACAAGAATTGTAGTTAAAATATTTCTTTGTGAGTCTAAAGTTTCATAATTTATCTTTTATCATAACTAAGGAAAACTATAGCTATAACTGTCTATCTTCAACTCCATCAAAGACCCCAGAACGATACAATATTGTTGTGGGAACTCCTTCAGCCAATAGCCTTTAAGATAATGGCCCACTTGGGGCATGATTTAATATACTATAAATGCAGACAAAAAGTGTGCGCAGAACTCTTGGCTGCTGGATTTGGTTCCAGTTCCCAGCACACGTAGAGAACTGCAGATCACTACTCTTTCTGTGAGTTTATCCCCAGTTAAATAAACATTTGTTATGCTCCATTCTGGGCTATTGTGGAACTCTTTTGTATGCCAACATAATATTATCTAAGTAAACAGGAAGTGCATTGTAAGCAACTTCCAAAACCCTATAATTAACAGAGACATCTTGCTGCTTCAACAGTCACCTAACGTTCTTCTGTAACGTGGGCATCCATCTTCAGCCTACAGACCCATAGGATGATGATATAGGACAAAGGATAAAGATAAAGGATATAGGATATGAGATAAAGATAACAGATAAAGGATATAGCATATGAGATAAAGGATATAGGATAAAGGATTATAAGATAAAGGATAAAGAACATAAAGGAAATAGGGTAAAGATAAAGTAAATGGGTATAGGATATAGAATAAAGATAAAGGATATAGGATAAAGGTAAAGGACAAGAAATAACTCTAAAAATGTTCACTATCCTAGCAATTAGGGAAATGAAAATCAAAACAACTTTGAGATTTCATTTTGCCCCAGTCAGAATGGCATAGATCAAGAAAACACCTGACAGTAAATGATAGAGAGGCCATGGGGGAAAGGGCACTCCTACCCTCTGTTTGTGAATTGTAGATTGGTCCAGCCACTCTGGAACTCATGTGGAGAATTCTCAGAAAGCTAAAAATAAATCCACTCTTTGACCCAGTTATACCATGCCTTCGCATATGCCTAAAGTGCTGGACACCTTACTCCTCAGGTTCAGTCATGTTCATTTCTGCTTATTCACAGTAGCTATAAAATGAAAACAGCCTAATGTCATTCAGCTGATGAATGAATAATGAAAATGAGACCATGAAAATTTCAGGTAAATGATTGGAACTGGAAAAGACCATATTGAATGAAGCAACCCGGTGCCTGAAAGACAAATGTCTGATGTTCTCTCTCATTTGAGGTTATGAGCACCAAATCTTTAGATGTGAGTACATATCCTGGAGTAACTGCAGAAACCAGGAAAGTAAAAAGGGACTATTTCTGGGCTGGGATGAGCAACAGACAGAGGAAAATGGTACAAAAGATATGATGGGGGAAATGGGAAAGAGAAAGCAGCTCTAATCAGGGAATAGGGAGGAAGAAGAATTCAGAGAGGGTAAAATAACAGTGAGATGCCTGAAAAAGCCATAAGGAATCATGCTATTAACTATCTACCTAAAATGCCTATAATGCACAAAAACTGGGATATAAATATGTATTTACAATTTTTATTTCTACAACACACAACTTTTAAAAGTAAGAACCAATATTGGAAGTTCAGCCACGAATCTAAATCTGCCTTCTGACAAGAGCTTCAAGTGATTCATTAACATTTTAACAGATTGGAAAAACACAGACCTAGAGCGGGATTTCCACGCTGTGGGATTTCCCCTATCTGTGCAACAGCAGGAGAAAACCAGCAAGCTGTAGGAAGATCATCTGATCTTGAATGAACTCGGCTCACAAACAGAGTCTGTGTACTGTAAAATATGACTGGTTCATTTATTTTTACTATTAATGCTGACTGTGATCTAACTTAACTTTCTACCTTGTATTGTTTATGAAGAGGTTGTTGCCATATGCTTCACTCTTTGTTCTACTCAGTGAGACAGAAGGTTTTTCCTAAAATAACCCCCAATTTGTGAGTCTAACAGTGCCAACTGCAGAACAACAATGCGTGAATAAACAGCTTTAAGTCCTTTGAAACCTAGATCATAGAGCTCCTGAGAGAGAACACTGCAATTTTAATAAAAAACGCTGAAATGCGTATTTAGTTGCTATTTGCAAGTACAATGACATTTGTGGTTGATTATTAGAAAGGTTGGCTAGTTACTACTGGAGCACCAATACTCTTGGCTTGATCTCATATCCAAAATTTAAAAATTATTATGATTATTATTTGAGATTATAAAATAATTATATCATTTTCACCTTCCCTGTCTTGTCTCAAACCCTCCCGTGTAGCCCTTGCTCTCTTTCAAGTTCTTGTCCTCTCTTTAAATCAATTGTCATCCCATGTATATATGACTGGAGCACAGCCATCTACTCAGGGTTCAGCAAGCCAGATTTTGGAGGAGAACCTAGAGTTGCCACCTTATTAAACCAGTATAATCTCTAATTGCATTATAAATATTTGCCTTTATACCCACAGATAAGCATAGTCCTCATCTCTTATCAAAGCAACTTCTCTTTGCAGCAGGTAGAAACTATTACAAAAAAATCATGACCAGTCAAAATGCAGAGTTTTAGAGCCCAGTCCCAACTGATACATCTACAACACAACTCCTGGCAACTAAGGCTCAGGGATCATTGTGGAAGCATGGATGGAAAGATTGTAGAAGCCAGAGGAACATGTAGTCTTGTCTCCTAGGAATGTTAGAAGCCACACTCATGAGGTCTCACCAACATAAGTGCCTAAATATGAACTGAACCAGAATGACACCAATGCCCCAACCCTAGACGAAGAGCTACAGGCAACTAGGGAATGCTGAGAGCAGGAGCAATAGTATTCCCCAGGGGAGGACACAGAAATTAGTTATACGATTCTAAATTGTCAGTCCTGAAGATACATACAAGTAACATCATACAGGCTGAACAGGCTGTGTTTATGTATTTATAAATATACATGTATATACATATGATGTATGTAACAGCAAATAATAAAAAAAAAAAATAAGGCCATAGGTCTGAACAAGAGCAAGAAGGGTATAGTAGAGGGTCTGGAGGGAGGAAAGGAAAGAGGGAAATGATATAATTATAATCTCAAAAATAAAAATTTTAAAAATGACATATATACTAGGATTTAAGTAGTTAGCATACATATAATACTTCGTGTTTGTTTATTTTTGAAGGTTGTCACCTAGTTGTTTTTTTATCATTAAGCAATTATATTTCAAAACAAAAATAATTTAGATAGTGCTTTATATAACTAATCTTTCATGAAAACTATGTTGTTCCCTCTCTGTTTTCCTCTGAATCAGTAGAAATAATTTTAACACTATGTAATGGGATAGGGCTACCTTCTCTGAGAAATTTTCCAGAACCCTGGACCCTTCCTTTTCAGGTCTCAGCTTAAACCTTCTATGCAGCAATGGAAGGTGCCATGCGCCTCCACGGTGTTGCTTTTCAACCTGGAAAAAGACTGGAAGGACCAAGTGTTCTAGGGATGGGAAATGAACCCTACCTGAGTGTGTGGTTTCTTGCCAAGCTTGGCTGACGTTCTTGTAGCATTTCAAAAATGTTTGGCTGGCGAAGAAATGCCACAATCTTGTCATTATATGCTGAAACAGAGAAAAAAGCAGAACAATGGCTGAGCTAGGTGACAATAAAATGCCCACTTCACCCTAGCTCTTGCACAAAAATGGGACAAATGCATTATTATCTTAAAAGATAAGTGAAAAGAGATCAGTCTGAGCAGTGATCTGGAAGTCCCAGGAGTGTGCAGGGTGTTACTTCATCCACATTTGGAGGGAAGATGAAGATAAGAACAGCTCTCCTGTGAAGACGTCTGTATTTATTCTAGCCTTCATGGTTCTTTTCCAAAGTTAACATGACAGAAGATCCTTTGTGAGTTCAAAAAAAAATCCTTTTCTGAGTGTTTTGCAATTGCTACCATGGCTGTGTGTGGATTTTCCAGCCACAAGGATGAAAATACACATTATTCAGATTTTCTCACCTCATTTTGCTGAAAAGAATTGATGACTGCGCTAGCTCTCCTCATACATACATGGAAAGGGAGGCATAGATTAAAGAGTGCACAGAGCAACAATCTTATGCAGCTGTCAACCAAGAATTCCCACTGGTGCAGTAGTGGCATGAATATAACAGAGGCTGTCAACCATGTTATAAAATGGATTTAGGACATGTTCTACAGGAGGGAACTCTAGTCTGACCTTCTAAAACTGATGAAGAACGTGGCTGGGGAGGTCACAGGCCTGGGGAGAACCATTGGTATGTTGATAGGTAGGCATAGCATCACATTGCCCTTTTACTATTTATCTTTTTACTCACAGAGGAGTGCAGTTCCCACTCTGCATCAGAGAAGCTTCTTTTTGGCTATGGATGGTGCTTAGTACAGAGACTCACAGCTGGTCAGAATGCAGAGGCTAGGCAACTGTATATCACTCAGTCCTAAATGAGACATTTGTAACACATCCCTCCACTCAAGGATCATAATACATCACAGAAAATGGGGCAGAAAGATTCTAAGAGTAAGGAGGTTGGGGAAGAGAAGACAAAACAACGTCTCCTGGATATGACAGGGCTGTTGGACTTAGGAACTCAAAGCAGCTGCAGTTGCTACATGCCAGTCAATATCCCAGCATGTACAGGGAGGGGCTCATGAGGTCCTGTCACAAACTGAAGAGTTATTGGTGTGGGAAGTCCTTGTGTATATGTGTTGCTTTAATTGGTTAATGAATAAATAACCTGGCTTGGCCTTTGATAGGGCAGAGTAGAGCTAGGTGGTATGGGGAGGACTAAACTGAATGCTGGGAGAAAGAAGGCAGAGTCAGTGATATGCCATGTCGCCACCAGAGGGGAAAGACACAAGCTTCCAGCTGGAACTTTGCCAGTAGGCCACAAGCCTCATGGTAAAATATAAAGTAATAGAAATGGGTTTACCAAAGGTATAAGAACTACCAAGAAATATGCTTAAGTGATTGTCCAGTGATTTAAAGAATATAGTTTATGTGTGATTATTTTGGGACTCTGGGTGGCTGGGAACAAATATGCGGCCACCTACAACTTGTTAGCAGTTGATGACTGGTAGGAGATGGAGAGTCGAATTTTTCAGTGGTGTGTCCTTTGAGGGTGTGCATTCTCCAGCAGATGGCCCCATACCCATGTGTGTACGGGCAGCACTAATTGGACAGAGTGGGTTAAACAGGAGGAGGGATTGAAAGGAGTTGGAGGGGAGAGTGGTGGGTAGATCATGATCAAAGCACGTTGTATACATGTTTAAACTTTCTAAATATAAATTAAAATCACTATATTAAAAACCCACACCTACATGTAGTTGGGTGAAGTGGCAAAGTTCTACTGTGACATCTAAGGCAGAGAGGTCATGATGATTCAATGCCTGCCTGGTCTATGGAGGAAGTCCAGCCTTAGCAACTTCGTGAGGCTATGCCACAAAAATTAAAATATGGAGATATGGCTTAATAGAAGGGTATTTGCCTAGCATATATAATCTTCTACATATAATCATTAGTATAGCAACAGTAAAGAAACAAACAAAGCAAACCTTGCTTACACCAACAAGAAAATGAATCAATTGTTTCGCTTAAATCCTGTATTTCTGAATTTAACTGACTATTGAATAAACAATGAAGAAAGGCGTGAGGATCTAGAAAATGAACTGATTGAGATGAGGAGGAAGAGAGTAAAAAGCTGGGAAGTGTCATGAAAGAGAGGAGGCCAGGCATGCTGGTGCACTGGACAGTCAGGCGAATCTTGTTTGTTTTTGGATAGCCTAGTCTACACAGTAAGTGCCAGAAAAGCTAAATGCACACAGTGAGAATCTGATTCAAAAGAAAAAAATAAGAGAAAGAAAATGCAGGGCTACTAAAAAGGCTCACGGTAGGGACAGCAATTGGGTTGCTAGAGGTGCAGTGACTTAGGATACATACCCAGTGGCAATGACTCATGTTGATGCTGACTTCGAATGGCAGCTATTAGGCTGTGTCCTGGCCTGGCCAACAATGATGCTCCTCTGTTTCTAGAGACTTCTGAGGCCTAATTTAAAATAAAAGTGTGAGATTGAAAGTCTGTCATCAATTATGGATTTTCCTTTAAAACCATTTTTTTTTGCCTGCATGAATATTTAAAACGTCTTGGCATCACCTAGATTCAGAAAATAAAGTTACAGTCCTTAAAGTGATGAAAGCCAAGCAAGTATTAAAAATTGAGTAAGGGGAATGTTGTATTATGCTCTGTAAAAGTTATTGTGTCAAATGTCATCAATGCAATGGCCATAAATAGAGAAATAAACTCTCTATAAGCACTAGTAGAAATCTAGGTCTATGATTTTCTTTTCAGAGATTTGGTATTGAACTTCAATAGCAAACATGGGTTGTACTTGCTCTTTCGGTAATACTGACCGTTCTCCAATAGCCCTCTTGGCTTAGCAATCTATTATTCCAATCACTGCTCTGGATTCTTTCCACATTGTATTTTGATCACACAACTTTATACATATAACATCTAAGGTTTCAAAGAAAGTAAATTTATCCAAAATTTTCAATTGTGGGAGAGAGAATTGGGATTTTAGCTAATATTTGACTGTAAGGTGCTAATTTATACCAAACCCCACTGTCAGACAGCATCCGGTATCTTGGTTTGTGTTGGAAATTTTGACAAAACCTCCTGTGATAAATATCTTTACTTAGCTTAATATCCATACTTATGATGGTTAATTGAAATACAGATCAATTTTGAAAGTTAATAAATTCCCTAAGTGCTAAAACATGATAATGATTTTACTCTAGCATGAGTCTATATTTATGTTGTTCCTTAAGATCTTAAAGCCCAACATGGTGGTGCATGGCTGTAATCCTAAATGTCTGGAAATGGAAGTAGGGATAAGAGGCGCTGGGCAGTGGTGGCACACGCCTTTAATCACAGCACTTGGGAGGCAGAGGCAGGTGGGTATTAGTGAGCTCAAGGCCTGCCTGGTCTACAGAGCGAGTTCCGAGACAGCCAGGGCTGTTACACAGAGAAACCCTGCTTCAAAAACCAAATACAAGAGACCAAGACAGTATAGATTTTCCACTTTGGAATATGTATCAGATATTCTTTGCCTTCTAGCTTCTACCTGCTACATATCTTGACTTCTCCCATGTCAGGGCAAAGCTACCAGAAGAGAGAGATAAGGAGACTAGACGGGTGAGGTTTGAAAATGTGCTAAGTAGAGCTCTCTTGGATTAGATGAATTAGATAACAGAAAGGTGCAAGTTAATACCCTTCCAGATAATTCTTGGATGATGAAGAGGACAGTTATTAACTGAACTGCGTCACAGCTATTCTGACATATCAATATGTTTCACAAGCAATGCAAGTCGTACCCTCGATCACGAGGTCATATTATTGAAGTTCTCTCTGGGGTCTTACGGAGAGGTAAAATTTTAAGTCAGTCATATGCTGAATATCAGCAACTTTGCTCTTTTAGTAGCATTTGCAGGTAATCAGATGACAATAGGATTCTTTTGATGTATATAAAGAAATCTCTTGATGTAAGTTTCCTTTACACCAGGTAAGGGTGTAAAGTAAGGGTGATTTGGGCAGAGGAAGGAACAGAAGGGGGCAGCCTGAGAGATATATAGGTAACTGAATGGGCACCCCACAATGGTGGTTCATTCTTCCATTGCAAAAATATGCATATGCTTTTACCCCTCATAGGACGGACAACCCTAGATCATGAAAACCAAGAAAATTTTTTTCTGGCCCCAGAGAAGAGCAAAGATTTGGGAACAGTGATTCAGGGCATAGAGAACTTACCTCTCCAGCACTGTAACTCCGGAGCCTCTGGAGGTGCTGTCGATGGGTCAGATGACTGGGAAGGCGGCCATTCTGAAGAGGGATTCGGGGATCAATGAAAGTGGTAGCTCGGCTGTTGTGGTCCACAAAGAAAGACTGCAGATGGACAATAAGACAGTGCGCTGTGAGAGATGGGAGTTGATACACTAAGGCTCTTATTGGACCCAGTGTCTTAGTTTTGTCTCCTATGGCTATGATAAAATACTTGGACACAAGCAATTTAAGGGAGAAAGGGTTTATTCTGACAATTAGAGGATAAATTGATGGTGATGGGGAAGTCAAGGCAGCAGAAGCTTGAAGCAGCTGCATCCACGATCAGGAGCCAGAAAGCAAATGAATCCGTGTTGCTCCCCAGTTCCTTCTCTCCATCCATATACTCTAGGATCTCAGCCAGGGAACAGTGTTATGCCTGGGGGTAGTTCTTCCCACCTCAATTAATGTAATCAAGAAAACCCTGCACAGGTGCGTTCAAAGGCCATCTCTTGGGTGCTTCTCAATTCTGTCAAGATGACAATTAACACTGGCCATCACAGTCATCATACTTACTTTTGACTCTTTCTCTTTTCTATCATTTCAAACCTACCTGACACTCATCTTTAAAATTAGATGAGGAAAAAGACATGGGCATTCAACAGTAGTTTCTATTGTTATTAATAGATAGCTTTAAAACAGTTGGGTGTGTATCTTCATGACACAAGTGTGCATGAAACACAAAAGCGGATCCCTGGGGCTGGAGTTACAGGTTGCTGGTAACCTCTGACATGGATGCTGGAAACTGAACCTGGGTCTTCTAGAAAACAATAAAACTGACTTCATTCCAAAGTTGCAGAAATTGTTGAATTTAAATAAGCCAAACCTCCAAATTCACCACATAAATGAACTCAAAGAAAGAAATCACATGGTCATCTCAACAATAAATATAAAAGAACCCTTTGAGAAAATCCATCATTATGAGTCACAGAGTTAAGGATAGAGGAACATACCTCAACGTAATAAAGGCTAGATTGGCAACCTGTCTTTGGTTTTTTTTTGGTGTGATAAGAGACCAGAACCAAAGAGACTTCAGGAGGAAGGGTTTACTTCAGCTTTCCACTTTTGGATCACACTCCATTACCAAGTGAATTCAGAACAGGAACTTAGGACAGGAACCTGGAGGCAGGAACTGAAGCAGAGGCCAGGGAGGAGTGCTGCCTACTGACTTTCTCCTCATGGCTTGCTAAGCCTGCTTTCTTAAAGGACCCAGGACCACCAGCGCAGGGTTGTTGGTACTCCCCACTGTGATCTGTGTCCTTACACATAAATTACCCATCAAGAAAATGTCCTACAGACTTGCTTACATGATCATAAGGCATCATTTTCTCAATTAAGTTTCCTTCTCCCAGATGACCCTAGCTTGGGTCAAGTGGACATAAAAACCAGCCATTATACACTCTTATAACCAACATTGTGCTAAGTGAAGAAAAAAGCATTCCCACTAAGACCAGGAAAAAGACAAGGGTGTACAGATTTTCTGCCCCACTCAATAAATACAATGTTTGAAGTTTTACTAAAATAATACATAAGAAGAAAGCAAAAGGGATAAAAATAGGATAAGAAGTCAAAGAATCCTTAGTCACAGATATAAGAGACATGAATGACTCATCCAAAACTCTTACAGCTGATATAAATGTCCAGCAAAATGGCAGGAACAAAAGTAATATTCCCTCTCTGAGAATTTCTCTGTCTCCACATTGCTACATATTTTTTTATTGTTTCCATTGAGCTATGTATTTTCCCACTTTGCTTCCTTCCTCTCTTTTCCCCTTCTACTCCTCCCCCAGCCCTACACTCCCAATTCTCTGGAGCTATGGATTGTAGTCCAGTTATCCTTTGTTTTTCTTTTAATATTCAATCCACTTATGAGTGAGAACATACCATGTTTGTCTTTCTGGGTCTAGGTTACCTCACTCAGGATTTTTTTTTCTAGTTCCATCCATTTGTCTGCAGATTTCATGATGTCAAATAAATAAGTTTTTAATGGCTGCTTGGGGTTCAGTTCATCAGAGAGGCTGGACCTTCCTGCTGCTACATGGGCCTTAAAGGAGGAGGAGTGGATGGGGGTGTGTGGAGAGGAGAGGTTTTGTGGAGTGACTGAAGAGAAGGAGGGGAAGCTATGATCATGCTGGAAAATTTAATTAATTAATTAATAAAAAGGCATCCCATACTCATTTATTGATAGAATAAATGCAGTGAAAATGACCATTTTTTAAAATAAAATCTTCTTGCCTATTCAGTGCAGTTCCAATGGAAATTCCATCTCATTCTTCACAAAAAGAGAAAACAAAAACTGTCAAAAGTTTGGACAAGGTTAGAAAGCATTAATATTCTTTGTCAAAATATCACAAGAATAGTCTCCAGGCCAAATATTAATATTCTTCTCCAAAACCTCTTGAGCTAGGCCCCCACAATTCAGATCAGTCTCAGCACCACTGTCTTCCATGCTCCTACTAGTAGGGCCCATTAAACCCCACATAAAGCATCCAACTTCTCGCCAAATCCAAAGTCCCAAAGTCTATAGTTTTCCAAACAAAAGTACAGTCAGGACTATCATAGCAATACCCCAGTCCCTGGCACCAACTTATGTCTTAGAGTTTTATTGCTGTGAAGAGACACCATGACCACAGCAATGTTTATAAAGGAAAACATTTAACTGGGGCTGGATTATGTTTCAGAGGTTTAGTCCATTATCATCAAGGCAGAAAGATGGTAATGTGCAGGCAGGCATGGGGCTGTAGAGGTAGCTGAGAGTTCTAGGTCTGGATTCAAGGAAGGATTAGAAGGACTAGGAGGTATTATTTTGTTGGAGTAGGTGTGGCCTTGTTGGAGAAAGTGTGTCACCGGGGATGGCCTTTGAGGTTTCAAAAGCCCATGCCAGGCTCAGTCTCTCTCCCAGCCCACAGATCAGGACCTAACTCTTAGCTACTCCTCGAGCACCTGCCTGCTGCCTGCCTCCATGCTCCGTGCTACAACGCTCTCTGCTGTGACAATAACAGACCAAGCACATCACACTGTAAACAAGCCCCCAATTAAATTCTTTCCTTTATGTGAGTTGCTTGGTCATGGTGTCTTCACGGCAATAGAACAGTGACAAGGACAGAAGTATTAGGAGGTATGGCCTTGGAGGAGGTGTGTTACTGGGGACAGGCTTTGAGGTTTCAAAAGACTTGTGATGTTCCCCGTGTTTATCTTGTCTTAGGATGTGAACTCTCAACTCCTGTTCCAGCACCATGCACAACTACCACATTCCCTGCCATGATTATCATGGGTTTTAATCTTCTGAAACCATAAGCCCCAAATTAAACACTTCCCTTGTATAAGTTGGCTTGGTTATAGTAAAGTAACTAAGACATGGGCCATTGAACAAAAGCACTCAATGGAAAATTTAAAGATGTAAAGAGGATAGACAGCAATCCTCAACCAAGTAGTATGTTATTTCCCTGGAGAGCAATGGTACACTTTGGCTTCTAAAAGGAAGCAGTTCAGAAGCTAAATATCTCTTAATGCAGTGTCCATGAACTGTGGAATGAGTAAGAAACCTGATGTCAACAGTCACTATCTGCGTTTTCCTCTGGGGCTAATATTAAACCTCCGAGACATGTAAGCATCCTTCTCCATAGTCTTCCCCTCCCTTTCTTCCACATCTGCATTGGTGAGCCAGAGTGTTTGGCGAAAGTCCTACACACTGATTGTCCTCACCTTTCCCTGATGATCGGTTTTGATCTCCCAACCCCGAGGCAGTTCCAGTCTTGTGTCTGCAAACATGTTGATGAAATTCACCAGGTCCCGGTTATGCTGGTAGCGTTCAAAATTGCGAGCATCTCGTCGGACCTTCAAAATCATGTGCTTCAAGCAAGTGCTACTTGTGAAGACCCGGTAGGCACTCTGAGATGGTTTGGGGAAAATGAACGAGGAAGATGTGAAATTAGGAAACATAGAGTAAACACACTGAGGGCTCTAACATGATCTAATAAGAGTCCAGCTTGGTGGTGATTTGTGTGAGCTAAAAATGCAGACTTTAAAAGCAGGCATAGCGCTCAATGTGGAAATGTGCATTTGACACACATGGGCCTATTTGGCCGGCCAATTCTTCCTGATCTCCAGAGATCTTCTTTCTAGTGTCAGCCATCCTTGGCTTTCCCAGGCCTCACTCTATATCTACAGAGCTATGCTTTTGATCCTTTTATCTATTTAACACATGATGATAATTTATCATAATTAAAGGTGGTCTTCAGAAGCCTATCATTCTAGTGAATCTTATATAACATCTTTAGATGAGGGAATGAGAAGAAAAGAAGGCTGTTTTAGGAGTTCCTACATTAGTCAAATTATAATTTTATGCTGCTACATAGATATTTGTGTACCCACAGCAGAAGTCTCGTTCCCTTCAGTATATCTCTGGGACTGCCTCCAAATCATCAAGCTATCTAGATGGTGTTGGGAGGGGCATGTGAGTACTCAGATGTGCCTCTGCACACATATATTGTGAGGAAAGAACACAGTAGGAGGCTAGAGAAGGTTAGTCCAGTGGGTCCCGCAGCCCTAAGGCCCACAGGAAGCCCAGAATATAATGCAGAGGCTTCAGTGTCTGACATACTTGTCACCCTGTGTGATTCCCCACTACTCACTGGGGATTTGCTCTAACTAAACACATTTATTTCCTCTTTTCCCAGCCACAGCCTTTACCATTGCACCAAAGTGTTGCACCCCTGCCTCAGAAAACCCTACTAATTCCCTTCCCCCAAACAGAAACCACTCAGTATTCCTTGGGTCTTCATCTATTGTTCACCAGTTGGCCTTTGGAGATCCAAGCACCATTGAATGATTTCTCAAACAATTCCTCTGAGCTAAGCCATTTCTCCCCATTCCCTTGGCATCCTTTACTTGATTGGTGGAATCAACTTTTAGTCTTGGAGCTCTCAGCACTTCTCTGAGATTCCGCCAGAGAAATGCTTCATCAAACTACCGAGTCATTAGAGATGGGCTCCCAGAGCACCAGGAACCCCTGTTGCCAGGAGAGTAGGATGGGCACCTTTGCGGTTTGCTAGGCTGCTGGGTCCTCAGCGTTTCTTCCACATCTGCCATCCACAGTGTAGCCACGTTGTAATCTGGACCACTACATCCTTCCTAACACACTGATCCTTTGCCCCATTCCCTTTCAACTCGCGAGACTCAGTTCCGACCTTGCCTCCTGCCTCATGTCTCCCAGGCACTTTGCCCTCTCTCAGTTTGGACTTTGTTGCACATCATTAGACTGTCAAAGACATTTTGTCTCCACAAAACAGACATCTACCAGTATTTAGGTTTCTCCTTAACCTGTTTCTGTAGTTCCAGTTCTCTAGGCTTGTGCACGAATTAAAAAAAAAAAGTTTGTGAAATAAAAGAATTAATGAATACTATTATATGATGCCATTGTTTTATGGAAAATGCCTCAAAAAATTTTAGAAAAGAGCATGTATGTAAAATGAAATCATAGTTAATATCAAATTCTTGAAGTATATCACAAGCTAATCTAGTTATTATCTAAGAAAAAGCTGTCTAAATGTTTTTTAAATGCAGTTGATCTTATAAAATGGTTAAGGATAAAGAACATTTGGACACTCTATACTCTTGTTTTTTAAAAGATTTAAGATCAATAAAGCAACACGCATTTGTTTGCAAGGAATTGTCACTGATATGATCCTGATGAAAGCCTTAGAAAGGCAAGAGATTTTCTACCCCCCGCCTTATTTACTGGGTGACTCACATGGAAAAGACATGTCTGAGTTGCACACACACACATGCATATACTCCCCACCCCACAGGAGACCATGCATTTACAAAAGAAAAAGGAAGGGCATGTGGGAGGGTAAAGAAAGAGAAAGGATAAATGATGTAATTATATTATAATCTCAAAAGAGGAAATAATTAAAAATCCTTCCTTTTTTTGTTCCTGAGCTCCCAGAGTAAAATTCTAGCCCCTTTATCTTAGTAAACGACTACATAAGCTTGTTTTGGGTTTTCAGAAAGCCGGTCCATCCTGTCTCCGTTTCCAGAGCACTCACGTAGTTGGCATGCAGCACAGTGAAGAACTCGGGATTGGTGATGAACTTGACCGCCGGGGACTGCAGCAGCAAGGTGATCTTTTGTGAGTTGACTGGAGAAAGTGACCCTTCTCTCCTCAGATCTAGGAAAAAAAATTAATGAAGCAATGGAATACGTTGGGCAGAAGGTCCTCCCACATTGAGCATGTGTCTTCCCATAGCAGAGCACAGAACCCCACACAGCGACTCTGCCAGGACAAGAATGGCAAGTGTTCCTTGTCCAAAATGCTTGACATCAAATGTGCTTCAGATTTTTTTTTCAGATTCTAGAACATGTGCATTTACATATTTTAGAGATGAGACACATGCCTGAACATGAAATTTATGCACCTTCTGTCTATACCTTACACACATAGCCCAGAGGTAATTTCACACAAACCTTTTGAGGCAGTCTCACAAGACAGAGCAACCTAATTTCAAACTCACGATCTTGTTTCCCCTTCTACGTGCTGCGATTAGTCACGTGTCATCACACCTGGTTTATACAACATTTTAAATATTTTTATGCATGAACTGTATAATTTTCCTTTTGTGGCATCATGTTGGCATACTAAATATTTTGGATATTTTTGAGTGTTTCTAATCTTGAGGTTTTCTGTTTGTTTGTTTTATCTGTGTAACAGCCCTGGCTGTCCTGGAACTTGCTTGTTGTAGTCCAGGCTGGTCTCAAACTCATAGAGATAATTTTCAGTTTTTAAATTCAGGTATCATTATTTCTTGGTAAGGTTCTTGTATAATTTCAGCTAGGTTCCAGTCCTCTCTCTTCACCTTCCTTTGTCTCTCTTTTTTTTTTTTTTTTTTTTTTTTTACAAGTGTTAGTGTTACCTGTAATTAAGACACTTTACACAAGTGGCCAGCTTTCCCCTTCTAGACTCTTCTCTGCAGTGGGACTTTTGAGCTCCTGAACTGGGCCTGGCCTTGTGCTTTGTCCCATCCAGTACCACAAGTCAGGAGTGGCGTGTCCATCCTGAGCGACCTAAGCACCTGTATTTCAGTTTCTCCTCTGTCCTCATGTCCACGAAAGGAACCAGCCAGAGGGACAAGCTTCCCAGCTGAGGCCATCTCAGTCCAACCCCACACAGTTAACACAGCAGGTAACCAGATAGAGATGAATACAGCACCAGCCTGACCAGCCTCCCAGCTTTGTTTGGCTGACATCGCTCACCTGCAGATTTGAGGTGTAAATGAATTGGGAATTTTATCCGCTAAAATTGAGGCTTTTGTTACACAGTAAAGTACATGTGATTCAATACCAAACCCAGAAATAATCCTAGGTACCATTTCTCATCCTGTTTCTAATTACTAGATGTCCCTCAGAAGACTGAATAAAGCAATAGTTACAGAAAATCCTAAACCATATTTGTTACATCCGATAGAGAAGACAGGATGGAGACAATTAAAATCACCGGTTAAAGTGTGTGAGTGCATTTAAGAAGGAAAGGGCCAGCAGGTTGGGGGATGGCTGACCAAAAGACGTCTCCCAGTTACAGCATGGTTAGTACAGTCTAAAAATTACTGCAGCTGTTTTTGTCTACACAAGACTTGCTTAAGATTGGGCCCATCGACAATTCATCATGGATTAGGGAGGGTCCCAAGGCTAAGGGCCCTCCGTGAGGATAGTTAACAGTTATTGGGGGAGTTTCATGTCATTTCCTTTACACTTGTTGACTTGTTCTAGTAAATAACCTCTCACCTACTGTCAGGTAAGAAACTTTAACTAAACTCAGAGGGCCACACGCATAACACATGTGTGTATCATGGATAACATGGGAAGTAGGATGGGGGCTATTATAAAGAGGGGTTCTGGCAAAGAAGGGTGAGGGAAGTAGGGTATTTCATCTAGAATGACTAAAATTCATTATATAAATGTGTGAAACTATCAAACATCGAAAACATTTTTAAAATTAAATAAATAAGCAAGTCCAGTATCTATGTTGCCACAAATCCCAGACCTGCCAGGATGAGAATTAAAATATCTACTTGCTTAGACTGTTTCTGGTCTTTTTTGACAAATCTGAACCCCAATTCAAAAAGAAAGTGGTTTACTGGGGTTTCACTGTGTTAATCATTATGTTGTTTTTGGTACGAAGAGTGGAAGCCAGTCTCATGCTTTTTAAATATCGTTATTGGCATCACAATTAGGCTAGATTTAAAGCAATGAAAAACAGGAAAGTAAGGCTTGATGAAACAATTTGCTCTTGGACTTTGTGACCAAGAAGGCCACCAGAAAATCTCTTTGTGCTCACGTTCCTCCTTGGTTGAACTGAATTTTATTAGTGCACAAGACTCATTAGAGATGGATTGTGAATATTTATCACATTTTATTTATAAGTGGAAATCTTAAGGGCACCAACTGATACATTACCTAACAACACAGGAGTCCTTTCTTTCTTTCTTTTCTTTCTCTCTCTCTCTCTCTCTCTCTCTCTCTCTCTCTCTCTCTTTCTTTCTTTCTTTTTTCAAGACAGGGTTTCTCTGTAGTTTTGGAGCCTGTCCTGGAACTAACTCTTGTAGACCAGGCTGTCCTAGAACTCACAGAGATCTGCCTGCTTCTGCCTCCCAAGTGCTGGGATTAAAGGGTTGCACCGCCACAACCTGGCCTGAGTCTGTATCTTCTAAGATTCCTGGCGGGAAGCTTTGCTGTCTCCCTTACTCACACCTCTAGTTCCTCCTTCTTGTTTGCCCATTTTTTTTCTCTATTATCTGTGGATGACACGGCTAGCCCATGAGGCAGGGTAAGGACTTGACTGGCGCACACTCCTGTCAGAGCCACTTCATGCCACCTCCAGTGTTCTGAGTCCCCTCCTCCAATACCTAAGCTTGATTGGGAGGATTCTGCTTCCGAGTCACTCCCTCCACCTCCACCTCCTCCATCTGCTATCTGCTCACAGCTTTGGTTGCTAGAATCTTCGTCAGGTCTCTCTGTTGCAATGGTCCTCTGAATGTTTTGATACCTGTACATTAGAATATGGAGAGACAAGAGTCAACTTGTGTTTGCTAATGCTCTGAATGATGCAACTGGAAAAGTCTGTAGACAACTATATTGAAATCAGGAGAGAAGTGTCTACAACTCCAATAAGATAGCCAGTATAATTAATAAGGCAGCGATCTCCACACTGTTTGGCTAGGTAGCTGGACAAATCTATTTTATAAGACTTAGAGACTGTACACAAGAGGTTGGTGGAAAGGGAGGGGAGATCTGGAAATGTAGTTTTCAATCCCATAGCTCCTCCCAGTTATGATAAAATGGATCTTATATGAGTCTTGTGTTCAGGAAGGAGATGGGGAGGGCTATTTCAGAAAAGGGGGAGGAAGGAGAGCAAATTAGCAAGTCTGCAAATATAATTCAAGATGAGTGAGGAGCGCACCCAGTCCTGTATAGGGTCATTCTTCCGCAGCAGGCTTCTGTTCCTTCCCTGACCTCAAGGAGCAAAGTTTTTCCACCATGGTCTCCAAACTACTCGCAAGAAGATCTGTTAACTTACATTAACTGAAGAAAATTGAAACCTGTGCTTCTAAGAGACTGTTGAGATACTGTTCTGGGTATCTAGGTTTGAGATTCACCAGCCTGCAGGATCGCTACCTTTTATCTTATCAGCCATCATTCACTTCTGATGACCTGGGAGAAGACACTCCCTGAACAGTGGCTGAGGGCCTTTTAGAACCAAGTGTGGACTTCTTGCAGCCCTCAGAGCATCCTGTTTGTTTCCCACTTCTCTGTGGCAGGGAGGCGATGGGAAGGTAAAAGATGGCCCACTGTGATCTTGCTGGAACTCGGAATGCAGCCAGGGCAGGAGACTAGAAGCTCCCGAAACTCTGACTTGAACTGGGGAGCAGAGCATTGCCGAAGACTGACGAAGCTGCTATTGGACAATGACCTAATGGATGTGGCAGACCATAAATTTGCCAGGTGGCCAAACAATCTTTTGAGAGCCATATGTTCTCCCGCTCTCCTTTTAAGATGTAGGATCACAGTCTTCTCCCCTTGGGGGACTGAGCACAGCATATGTGGCAGTTTTGTGATGGGACCCAGAAAGCCTGAGAAAGCCCAGATCACAGAAACCATAGACTCAGCAAGCCTCCTCTTTTCCATTTCATTGTCTGTGAATGTCCTCCTGTACTTGTTCTGTTTGGAGCTAAAAGTGTATAAAAGGTTCGTGGAAATCTGTAATAAAGTCAGTTGAAACATACAATTTATAATTGCTCATGCATGCAAACACAATAGAAAAAAATAGAAATATACAAAATAGAAAAAAGTTCCCAAACTAAACCATGGCAATCCAAACAAACAAACAAACAAACACCCCAAATAGTCAAAGCTGCAGAACAGAAAATTCATATGGAAATTAATTACAATTCTTAAAAGATTACGGCAAAAGTTGATCCTCTAAGAAGTGAAATATATGCCATCCCAAAAGACCAGGAATACAGAAATAGCTCCTAAATCAGCCAAAACAGACCAGAAGACGAGATGGAAGTAAAGCCATTTTTGGCATAGTGAAATCTATAAAGTCACATTGTTAAAAAAATTAGGCATTGATAATAAATACCCAAACTATTTATTTCCTAATGCTGTTCTGGGAATAGAATCACAAAGAAAAACTCTAATATAAGATAACCTTAATATCTAAAATGGCCCTGCTCTTCAAATAAAAAATCATGATAAAACAATAAGCAAATATTCAATAAAATGAGAATTTAAGTGTTCTAAATTATAGCTACTCAGTGGGATAGTTACAGGGACTTAAATATTAATCTGAAAACATGGCAGTGATATAAAGCACTTGCCATACATATAATAAGGAAAATGAATATAAAATTTTATTGTCATCCTGTCATAACTATGTAAGAATTTTGGCATATATATTGAAATAAAAATTAGATAAATTTCTTTAAGAGTTTAAACTTTGGAGTAAAATGAATATATTTTTTCTATTGAGATTTAACTCTTCTTTACATTATAAATTAATAAAGTTAACTAAAAATAAGTTTTAGTTGATTATTTAAAATGAAAATGCATGGTGATTTTTTGCTTCATGTTTATACATATATACGTATGTGTGTTTTTGAAAGTAGAGTTAATTAATGCTAGACAGCCTCCAACTTCAGGAATTAACTCAGAACTAATCTTGTATTGAGTTCTAGGCAGTTTTTGGTACCACAGCCTTTGACTGCTTTTCTCAGGTGTATCTCTTGATTGGCCTACGTGGTGGGAAGTCAAGGAAGACTCCTCACAATGCTAACATAGATTTCCATTTTTCAGTGAGACAGTGATCCGTGTAGATTCTCTAGGCACGTTCATAGGTGAGTACACTTTTAGTACACTTTTTGTTGCTGCCTACTTCCAAATTATAGAAGCCTTTAAATGCTTGAAAACAGTGGAAGGACGTGTTTAAAAGCATGAACTTCTGTAGATAAGTTTTTCCACAAGAAATGAGCACTTTCTCAAATCACAAGATTACTTTTTTCTTATCTGTCCAACTTCAAATGCAGCTCTCCATCCAGCATGGTGCCTGCTGCCTCTCCCAGTGTGTGCAGCCCCACGAAAGGGCTCCTGTCTGCTGCAGGTAGATTTGGACGGAATTCTCTTTTATACAGTCTGAACATCATGAACTTATATTAATTTTATGCCAGAGGTCTAGGTATTTTGTTTTGTATTGCTTTGTTGGTTTGATTTCTTGTGCTTTGCGTATTATTTGGTGTTCGAACAGCACCTCTTACACGTGTAGCTTAAAGTCATTTTCAATTAGCCAAGCAATTTCAGCATATTGCTTCAGATGTTACTTTCTGCCTATAGACTTACAGCATAGAAAGGCTGGCCTATGGACATTAGGTGCATTTGTGTCCAATAAAACTAGGCCATGGCAATTCTTTGCAATATGCTTTGTTCCTGTGGGAATGATTGTAGAGAAATATGCTATGACCGAAAATCCTTTATGGCTCTTATTAATGACTTAGACATTCAGCTACTGATGGAAAAAGGAAAGGCAAATGTCTTCTAAATACTCAAGCAATAAAAGCATACTCTGGGGGCTTTCATCTGAAATATATGTCTCTATAAACAGAATTCACTTTAATTAGTTAATTTAGTTAATTAAGTGTGTGTGCACGCACATGTCTGTTTGTGGCTGTGTATGTGCACACACATGTGTTTAGTAGCCAGAGGTTGACATCAGGTAGTCTCCTTGATGGTTCTCTATGTTTTGAGGCAGGATTTCTCACTGAAGCCAGAACTTACCAATTCATCTAGACTAGCTGTCCAACAAACCCAATAACCTACTGATTTGGGATCCCCTGATCTGGGATTAAGTGACTATGCTGCCACCTCTAGGTTTATACGTGTTCTGGAGATCTCATATGGGCATCTAGATGCAGTTCCTGGTGACTGCACATTTAGTGACTGAGCCACCTTCCCAGTCACTATTCTTCTTTATTTATCTATCCATCTGGAAGATTTTTCTTATTTTTATGTGTGTGCCTGGGTTCATGTATGAGTACCTGTGTGAGTGTTTGTCACTCACATGTATACATGTCAGAGAGGGTGTCAGGACCCCAAAGCTGGAGTTACACATAATTGTGAGCTACTGGACATATAGGTACTAAGAAACAAGCGTGGATCCTCTAGAAGAGCTAGAAGTACTTGTAACCACCAGGATATCTGCCCAGTTCCTTGCTTTTGTTTTAATTAGTTTACAAAGAAACAAGCTTCCTTATGACATCCTCATGTACACTTGTAGGTGACGTTTCCACCCCTAACTTTCCCTCATCTTTCTGCACCCATTTTTAATTAGAGCCTCCCACTCCAAGTATTTCCCCTACCACCTTCATATCATATGTGCTCTATGTATTTTTAGCAAGTCAAAAAGCCCACTTTAAAAAAACCCATTTAATAGGCAGATCCAGTTAAGTCTTAAAGGAATTACTATCGAGAAATATACTTAACCAAGGCTTTTATTCTTTTCAGTCCCCCTCAACTTTTTCTTTAACTTAGCACTTGAAAAATAAGCAAGACAGGGTGTGGATGCAATTTCAGCTGAAGTAAGCCGGATGCTTGCACTTTCAGTAACAATAAGTTACTAAAGCCATTGCTTATTCTGTCTTCAAAGAACAAGAAAATAGAGATGTTGCTGGCCTGAAGCACGAGAGACACAGCACCCACGGTTGTAACCCAAACCCAAAGAGTTATCTGTTCAAGTTCAAAAGTGAAGACATAGTTTCTAATCAAACTGATTCTAGAAGAATCTCCATTTCTTATAGGGTCTTGATATGTTGTTCAAGCTGACCTTGAGCTTGAGATTCTTCCACCCCAGCATCCCCCAAAACTGGAATTACACAATTGAACCACTATAGGTCATTTCAAAAATATTTTTAAGCATTTATTTATCTAGGATAAACACTTTTGAACTTTTGAAGCCCTGCTGTTTATGAACACACAATGATGATGAGAAGAGGGAACTCTCCCTAGTTATGGGGGTACAGGGATGATGAGGTGAGGACAAACTCTGCAGTGACTGATAGGTGTATAATGGTGACAGGGCAGACTCTACAGTGAAGGGTGTATATTGATGACAGACAGGGCAAACTCTACAGTGAAGGGTGTATAATGACAGACAAGGGCAAAGTCTACAGTGATTTATGAGGCGATTTTTCTGTATGGGTGATTTTTTTATTTTTGTGGGAACTGTAATTGGAATGCTATCTATTTTGAGTTCTGTATCTTTGGGGAAATCTTATGATGGATGCAAACTGGTCTCCCAAAAATGTGCTCACAGATGTAATTTTACATCTAATTTTTGGAGAGTTTGTGGGGACCTTCACATTCTTGGGGGAGGGGCCATAGTTAAAGAATTTCTGATTTTTTGCTTGTACCAGGAAGACATTCAGAGGAACCCAGTGTTTAAATGTCACTTAAGCGTAACAGGCTTCCTGTCACTATCTTCCAAACCTAGGCTTCCAAATACTTACCACAAACAGGTTTCTTACGTAATTCTTTTTGTTCAGCTTCCATACAATGAGCAGGAAAGCAGAAGAGGGCTGTCTCGCCATTCTTATCTAACCATGGCCATTTGGGGCTTGTTCCAAACTGGTCACCAACCTTCTGTTAAGCTGCTCCATCTGGTGGACAGACCCGGACCTGATCATTCCATCTGGGGTAGGTGCCACTGTTGGTCGCTGCCAGGTGGTTGTGCGGTTTACATGGTCCACGTAAAAGACCCGTCCGTGGCTGTCAATTCGAGCTTCCCAGTCTAATGTTTAATAAAAGGACAAGAGAAGTCAAGTACTGACTACTTGTCAATCCATGTGGACACATCCCACTTTCAGGGCTTCTGAAGTTAGAACTCACCAGTGGCTTATTGCACCCCACCTCACTTGTCTTCCAGCCCTTGCTGAGACTGCTAGAGAAGAGCTGGGAATCTGCTTACCAGAAAGGGGCTAATAGACTCAGATTCTACTTTGCTATAATTATGGTTCCCTGACTATGACATATGCTTAAATTTAATAGTGTCTAAAGAAGGTTTGCTTACTGCTTTAAAATTCTTGCTGATTATTCAAAAAAACAATTACAGGAGATTGAACAAACCTGCAGTAAACACTGGTGTTGTGATGCAAGAGAATCTATTCTTCACTTAGTCTAACAGAGGGTGAGGAGGGGCAGTTGCAATGGATCGTGTATTTAAACCCCTTTTTAACTGAGTTCTGAAACGCTGTATGTGCAACTTCAGAAAGCATCTTTCTAAACTGAGCAGGCTCAAGCAATTGCAGTTTCCTTTAAGGAGGTGAATGGAAGAACTTGATAACTACAGTTTCACACTCCCCGTGTGATCAAATGTAAACGTACAGTATAAATTGAACCTACCTATGGCTGGCTAACCAAACCAAACCAAACCAAATTAATAGAGCAATGTAACAAACATCAAACTGGAGGGAAGAAAGGGAAGGGCGAAGGGATGCAATTATTTTTTAATTAAGAATGTAGTTAAAAGCAAGTAAAAAATAATAACTTTTTAAAATTGCCCTTTTATAAATTTTTGAGATTTTAATTACATCATTTTCCTTATCGTTTTCTTCCTTCAAACTTCTCCCATTTATCCCTCCTTGCTCCATTTCAAACTTATGGCCTCTTTTTACCATTAATTGTTGTTACATACATATATGTATGTGTATGTTCATATATGTATAAATGGATCTATAAAGACTTTGTTGCTCAGCAACCATCACAAACGGTAGAGTGAGTCAACGCAGAGCATAGATGATTAGTTGATGGTCATGTAAGCGAAGGGGGGTGAAATCCATGAATAAATCCCTTGAATCTGGGAGCTAAATGTGTTTCATGTGCCTCTGAACTAGGAATATAAGAGCAATGATTCGTGGCAATGGGTAAAACTTCCATAGTCCACATATAAAAATGTGGTAGAAATAACACCAATATGGTGTCATGTTGATAATACTAAAGAAATGCTAACCATGCTAAGTCAAATAGGAAGCATAACTGCAAAAGAGGAAAACCATTTGGTCTTTTAAGTGAGAAAAGATGGTTTGGGGAGTGGGCCAAGTAGTTTCAAGTAGTTATCTTGAAAACTCATGCCTTAGGCAATGATATAGTGACTCTCAAGTTTTAAATGAAAGATAATTTGGCATTCTTACGGTTTTTATATGTATGTGGCATATCTGTTTGGAAACATAATTTCATTTGTCTAACCTAGAGGGTTGTCAATACCCAATGAAAATCCAAATACCAGAAAATTCAAAATTTAATGTATATAGGAGGAAAGATGTAGTTGAATTACAGAAATATAATCTAGGAAGATTTCTCTAAAGTAAGTTATTAGATAATTCAGATGACAACTATAAGAAAAATAATTTGTTGATGAAAATATTGTACATATTTGCAATTTTATAACTTCATAACTAATCTTGCTCCCAAAATTTGAAATGTCTGTTGTTTTAATCTTAGAAAAGTTATTGAACAATTGTTTTTTTGAACTATCATCCAACAAAGCACAACAATTAACTTTCTAATAACACCATGTTATTTAATTCAAGTGAGAAGACTCCACTTACACTTGCTATAAACTAGTAACTATGTCAAGTCCTAAGGACACAGACAGATAACACAGATCTCTACTCTCAGGGAAAGCAAGGACTTTTCCATTAGTCTTGCAAAATCTCCAAGGGGTCAGAGGTTGGAGAATGGAACATTGATGACACATTTTTAGTAAGTTTCAAATTTCCAAATCACTTCTGGAAAGGATGGTCATCAAAATCCGCAAGCTCTTTTATTAATATGTTAAGTACCTAAAACACATAGTATTAATTTTATATTCTTAAAAATATTCATCAACTAATTAACTGAATTTGAGTATGTTTTCTGGGTTGCTTTCTAAAGAATTAATTTTCACATATCTTATAAACAAAGAAAAACTTCTGAGTGGATCTTCAGGCCTCAGCATTGCTAGAAGGATTAAGCACTGTGTGTTATGAATTTATGTAGACCCCTGAAAACTGTCTCTATCCTTCACTGGGGTAAGTTACAGCAGTGTGGGGCAGGTGGAGTCATATAAGAGAGAATAAATTATTGGACACCTAATTATGTTTTATTAAGAACTTAAACATGTATGTTTTTATTGTTGTACCGTGCACTTAAATATTTTAATAAATATAATATCCTATATGTATTTTACAGACATATATCTAATTGCCTTCTTGCCATCACTCCTGGATGATATCTCAACTATAATATGATCAAGGGAAGCTTTAGATCATTCCCACTCCACCTTCTCTACTAAAGACATTGTTTTCTTTCCATCAGTCAAGGTTAAAAATGAGTCATTCTTAATTCTTTCTCTCATTTCCATACCCAATGTGTCCCCAAGCTTGTCTTCAAAATATATGTTCAGATATATTAACAATTCCCTGGTGCCACCCTGATCCAAATCACCCATGATTTTAATCTTGGTCATTGCAATAACCTTATGTTGTATCTTCTATCCTTCCTCCTCATTTTATTCCCTGCACAACGACTAAGGTCAAAATACAGGTCAGAAATACCACTCCCCCGCTCAAACGCTGTTGTGTTCCATTCATTCAGGGCAAAAGCCAAACTTCTCCAATTGTTCTCAACCTGTGGGTCGTGATGCCTTTGGCAAACCTCTATCTCCAAAAATATTTATACGACTATTCATAAAAGTAGCAGAGTTGCAGTTATGAAGTAGCAATGAAAATAATTTTATGGTTGGGGGTTCCCACAGGATGAAGAACTGTATTAAAGGGTCACAGCATTAGGAAGGTTGAGAACCACTGCAGCTATGGTTGCGGACCCCCACAGGATGAGGAGCTGTATGGTAAGTTGGGAACCACTGTAGCGGTCTCCAAAGCCTCAGGGGATGGTTGTGTACGGTTTCCCTTGCTTTGTTATCTACCTTTCTCTCTCTCTTTCCTGAGGCTTCAGAGGCATTGGCTTTATTCTTCACACCCATCATCAGGCCTCCACTTAGGGCTCTGCAGCTGCTCTGGCTGCTCCCTTCGTCTGTACAGCTTTCCCTCAGCAATATTATGAGCAGCTCTGCTATCTCATCCATTACTGCCCTCTTAGGGAAGCTTGCTTAGACTGGATCTAAAATAGCAAACCAGTTGTCTACTACACATGAAAAGACCCCTTATCTTCTTCTATTTAAATTTTTTCCACTGCATTTATTACAGTTAAGACTACTCCTATGTATTGTTTTATTGTTCACTGTCTACTTCCCAGATGAGCATAGAGATGCTCCATGAGGGCTGGAATCACGGTCTATTTTGCTTACCTAAAACAGCACCAATTACACGGTATTCAGCAAATACTTGACGAATGAATGACTATCAGTAATGAAGTAATTCACCTCCTGTTTGAGATTATCTAGCAAAATCCTATTGTCAGAATTCATTGGCAAATTTTCTAATATTTTCATTGCTATATAAATAAAGAATTAAAACCTACACAGTCTATTTAGTTGTTGAGAATGGTTTATATTAGGTAGTTATTTTGAGGTGGTTTTATGTTAAATTATTTATAATTTAACTATTTATAACTAGTTATGTTACTGCATGGATTGGAGATACATATGTAGAGAGGATTTTGTGTGTGTATGTGTGTGTGAGAAAGAGGCTGTTTCTTGGAAGTAACATGTTATATATACATTTTTCAAAAAATAATATATGAAACATGATGGGTTTTTACTGTTTTTAAGTCATATCATAAATCAGTATATAAATGAAGAAAGAAATCAAGCACCAATAGTTAAAGAAGATAACGTTTGGCTTGGCCTCTGAGAAATAAATGTGTCAATGCTTTAAGCTAGGGTATCTACTAAGGACATTTGTAATTTCCTCACTGCTAACGTATGACTGAATAGGGAGAAGTGTAGTATTCATGCAAAATGCAACATGTGAGAATTTTATTCTCACAAATAATAAAACATATTATTTTTAATATGATTAAATGATTTTCCTAAACTCAAATGACTATCTAAAGAATTATTAGTACAGGATGGCTACTAGGTGAAATGACATTGAATTCTACCCTAAAAGTAAGAGTTTTCCTGCAAATGCCTAAGAACTACAACAGACATTTGGAGTTTCTTATCCTTCGATGCGAGTGTTAATTTGGAAAGAACAGTTTCTTAAAACACTATGGGTCGCAGTTGTCCTAGTCTATGGAGACACTGGTGGATAATGGATTCACTGGGAAAAAATACCTTCTATTTCCAACTGAAAATTTTACATTGGTAAATTTAGGACTGAAAAGTCACAAAGACCAGTCAGGTCTTGTAAAGAAACATTGCCTATTTTTTTCTTCTTCCTCAGAAACGTAGGGACTTCAACAACTTTTGCTTGTCTCTTTAATACCATATATGGAAAGCGCTTGCTCAAAAGCATGTTTAAAATAGGTGTGTACTGGTGTTTAATAACAGTGCTAAGTATGGAACTTGGAAAGAGTTTTGGATGCTTGCATATGAGTTCACACTGACCTGTTCAGACTTCATGGGAAGAGTTAAGGCATAGATTTGAAAACTAAAGCTTACTTGGTGGAAGAGGCTCATCGATTGTTGGGTAGTGATGATGTTCAGGCCTCAAGGAAGGAAGCTGGCTTATTGGCTGGGAATTATGGAGTATAGGACATTCACCTATGAACAAGATAGTCAAGACATTCATATTCATTGCTATGGCAATGTTATAAAAAACATGATTGTAAAACAAAGATCACTATAAGAAAAACAAATAAAATGGGCAATATTTTTGTTTTTGTGCCATTTTACTATAACCATGCCAATCATGACACAAATTAGTAAGGAAAGAAAGAGAAGGAAGAAGAGCAGGAGGAAAGAATAGAAAGAGGAAGAGGAAGAGAAAAATGGAGAGCAAAAAAGAGAAGAAAAAACCTAAATATGTTTTGACTTTTGGTCTATGACACATAGACCAATACATGGGACCAGAATCTGTTTCTGAAATTACTTTGTCTTGGTTAAAAGGTGACATCAGAAAGAAACCCAAGGGAAAACTTAAAGAGCCTTATTTCAGTCCAGTAAAGGAGACAGGCTTGTTTGAAGGGAGTGAAGTATTTATAAGGTCTCGCAAAAGCTTTGTTGGATTATGAGAAACACACCTTGTCATATGGATATAAGGGGTCCATAATTAAAACAACAGAAGAGTATCAAAAGACAGTTTTTCAGACTTAAAGGAGACTGGAACTCTTAGATAGTGCTGTTCCAAGATGGGTCAAGGAACTATCGATAGTCCAAGAATGTAAATTCCTATAAAGGGAAATTAGAAGAAGAAATGGGCAGTCAAACAGGTCATGGGAAACCATGGCTATTCCAGATTACACGGAGGAGGAATGAAAAGCAGAGGAGCTCTAGAAAGAGGAATAAACAATAGACAAAGGCAGTAGATAAAAGGCAAGAAGACTGATATAAGAAAATTTGAAACAGAGAAGTGGGAGGGACAGAAGAAAAAAAAGAAGACACAGAGAAATTATAGAAATAAACGTATCTATAGATTTAATGACTCATGTTATTATATACATTGCTTGTATTGTTGTCACTACAGATTTGTGATTAACCCAAAAAATTCTGGAACAGTGTTTCTGTCTCAGTATCTATTGAGGTGTGCAGATCGACCATGTAACTAGTACTAAATGATTCAGTCTCTGGAGACCCTGAAGGGCCCCAAACACAGACAGCCCCATCCAGCTCTATACTGCTTTCCTCCGGCTGCATACAGTGCTCGTACCCTTCTAACCAGAAGACAAAAAGACATTTTTCTTTCCTTTTCCTTCCAGGACTATTGTAGAAAGTATGTATTCTATTAACCTTTGGGTCAAATGGAGAGAAAGTAAATGTCATGGTCAAGATCTTTGAGGGATCCCAAATAGTGAACATTTTCCAGGAGATCCATGTGGGGAAATACAATTTTCCCCACTACAGTTCTATAGAAACAATGGAGAATAAATTAGTAGAAAGATGTTAGGTGGGCTTAGTTTAGTAGCTTAATTCCAAGACATAACTAACAACTAAAAATAAAAATGCCCTCAGAACAAAAGGCCGTTCTCGATAATAAAAACACATTTTCCCTGGGTATTTCCACCATTACTAAAATCCTTTGGATCTTTGAAGGCACCAGTAGAAACAAGGAAGGTGCTCCTCATGGCAGCAGAGCACTCATGGTGGACAAGTGGCTATTCCAAACACAGGTGCTGTATTTTAGTAGATACGGCACTTACATGTGTTTCCGTAAGTGTTTGGGGTTAGAAAGTTGGAAAAGAAAACAATGGTACAGCTGTTACATCATCAGCTGCCGTACTTTGAATTTTGTTTCTTAAAAAAAAAAAAACCTTACCTCATTGTAATTCATTCGATCAAACTTGTTGATCAAACTTGTTAATCACCCCCCCAAGTTTGTGGAAATGCAATACTGTTGCTGGTTGGAAGCACACCCCACCTTCTTGTGAGTCCCAAGAAACTGCAATGATGTATCCGACCCATGGCCGCTGACTGAATGAAACAAGCAAGTTCTATACTAGAGCCCAGCTTCACATGATTGCCTTCGCTTCAAAGAAAGTGCTCAGAGTGTCCAAGAAGGGATAATATTTCTCAACTAAAAATAAGGGAGGGTCTTTAAATTTATTCTTATTATAACCAGCATGGTCAAACTGTAGAAGAGACGGGCGTGAAAGAGGCTTCCTATAAAGAGGCTGAGTCTGCCAAGACTGTCGACGATTTAGAATTTCAGTGATGGGAAATGGTGGATTGTTACAGGCCCAAAGTTGAATTACATTTCATCTGGGGATATTTTCACCTACGGAACAGTCGTTCTTTACCCTGGTTCTGTGTTAGAGCTAACATCTGGTCACTAATAGATAAAGCCTAACAACCAGACAGATGAAAAAAATCAAAACACTTTTAGAATGAATAGACATGACCAAACTCTAGTTTTGTACTAATCAAAGGGCTGTGCCATCATGCAGCATCTAAGGCCTATAGCTGAGGCTTCTCCACGGTGCTGCAACCACCTAGTCACTGTTTCTACCAATGCATTCTTAAAGTGTCATTAATTACGGCTATCTTTAGTCTGTTTCTACAGAAACCTCATGCAACTACTTTGGAACCTAGAATTTAAGGTAACTAAAATTGTGTTCTTAGGCCTTGGTCCCTTATATTTGGCTCCAGAATAAGCTAATTCTTATTGCCTTTGAATTGAAAGCTGCATATTTGTTTCAGCAGAAGCTACCAGAATACTATTTGATGTAAAGTGATTAGTATTTAATTGAATGAAAGTTTCCTTGACTAACATGGTAAGGATAGATTCAAAGGGTGTGTCTTCTTGTACAATGTAAACAATTAGCCTTCTTGCTTATCTGCCTGAAAAGAACTCTCATTAGGAAAGAGGCAAAGTCCTTACTCTTTCATATCATTTAACTCTTTCAATAATTCCTTGAGGTCAATGCTACAATTATACCCACTTGGCACACTAGGAAGCCAAGATACAGAGCTGTTAGGCAGTCTGTGAGGACATGGCATGATGGACTTGCCTCCTAGGGCTTGAGCTCATGACTATGTGACTCTGTTCCTCTCATTTAGCTGTAAGTTTTTTGAAAACTATTTTAAATTGAGTTTTAAGCACAAGTTTTAGGGAAGGAAAAGAAACAAAACTTAGGTAAGGGATGTTGGTTTAATAGGTATCAGTTTGGATTCATGTGGAACGAGCATTCATTGTAAAACCAAAGGTGGCAGCCTTTGGATTAGCATCTTATTTGAAACATGAAAATTTATGCATTTGCATTATAACTGGACTGGCAGAAATGGAGATTCTCCAGAAAGATACTTGCACCTCCCAATCTGACTAACAGACCATTGAAACAATGGACACAAAGAATCAGAATTTCCCTAGGATTCTCATGTTAGAAGGAAAAGGCTGAGTTCTGTTGCTAGTCAGAGAGAAAGCCTGTGTCTCAGAGATTTCAAACAGGTCTCACAACTAGTCAAACCTTCCTGGAGACAGTGGTGATGATTGGTGACCCAGACAACAATGGGCAGGACTATCCCTTACCATCAACCACTTAGTTAGGCACAACTCTTAACCCAAACTTTAGGTCAAGGCCCCAGACATGGACCTGATGTATACCCCTGAAACTTCTAGCTTTCTTTTCCAGTGTGACAACCTCATTTTTTCCGCCTTTTGCTATTCATGGTGTTTTTAGTTAGTGGAGCCTAGCTCGTTAGGGATGTCAGAGCCCAGACTCAGACCCAAGTGACTCTGGTTGATATTCCTTTCCAGTAGCTAAAATAGCCCAACAAAACAAAGCAAAACCAACTATTATAACAGGAATTGGGCTAGCAGAAAAAAAGAAAAAGATACGTGGTCTACCCATGTACTGAGTGCATTGCCATGTTGGCCAATGGCAATGCTTTTGGACAAACGGGAGGAGTGGCCCCCAGAGCTATCAGAGTGTGGTAGGGGGAAAATATCCATATTCTTCATCGATTACCCATGTCTATCACTGATCTTCAATGTGTTTAGGAAGTCTATATTTGCCACCTAATGCTGAAGATAAACGTATCTGCCATCCTTGGCTGTTTATACCATTGGATACTAGTTTTACCCCTGTGGTGGCTGTTAAGACCAGGAAGCTAACTCACACCAACCAGCTCTAGTCATTAGTCAAAACAAGAAGAAGCATAGACACAGGTAGGTAGCCATTCATGTCCTACTCGCTATGTTTCTTGGTGTGAATTTGAGACATGTTGTGGCAGAAATGCGCACACCTAGACAGCTTCATTAACATGCGAATACACTGAGCCCTCCACCTCCATATGGGGAGACTCGTGTCGTATCATGGTGGTCCTAGTCTCACTGATCTGGTTTGCAGTCTAACCTTCTCTCCTATTGCTGGGACCTGCCATGGGGGACTCCAGACCTTCAGTAGTTCTTGCTGCATTCCCAGCAGGGGCAGCCAGTTCGTCCTGCCACGGCCCAGCCCCATTTGTAGACTCGGGATCTAGCTCTGGGCTTTGCACTGAGTCCGGTACGGACTCGAATGCACTGTTTTCCTCCTCCTCATCCTCTTGCGAAGAGAAGACTGTGCTCTCAGAGATCTTGGCGCTATCCACAGAGGAGAAGCGCGTGTGGCTGGCAAAGCGGTTGTTGCCATTGTAGCAGGAGCTGCTGTAGCAGGAGCTGCTGTAGCAGGAGCTGCTGTAGCAGGACGTGCTGTAGCACGAGGGGCTGCAGCACGAGGCATCACAGCCCTCGCAACTGTGGTCCGCTCCTTGCTGGGGGCTGGAGTCACTCTCACTCCCCGTGCTGGGGTGTGCGCCGCCATCCTGGCCAGCACCAAGGCTTTTGGGTAAAGTGGAGTAGAGGCCCCCAGCGCCATCAGAGGGCGCCATACACAGTGTAGCTCCCTCATTCTCGCCGTCTTCCATGGATTGCGGGTCAGCAGCTATTGTATCCACCTCGCTGAGTCCATCTTTTTCAGAGGACTCCTTGAGGGTAATTTCCTCCTCTAAGCCATCCTCCTCCTCCGTGGTGCTCCCTCTCTGAGCCGAAGGCATGCTGTGCAGCAGGGTGTGGATGCGGATGTAGTGTGTCCTTGGGGTCTCAGGCTCTCCACAGGCAGATGCAATCACTGTCTCAAGCTCAGATACAGGAAGGGAACATGGTCTGCTTTTCTTTTTCACCGAGGCCCTCAGCTGCAGTCCAGGCTCTCCTTGCTCCAGGGCAGAAACCTCCTCTTCCTCTTCTTCCTCATCCTGGCCATTCTCCTGCATCTCCCCTTCTCGGGCTCCATCTGCCGGCACTGCGCCCTCTTCTGCCCCGCTACCTTCTGGCAAATTCTCATCCAGGTCAAGTCCCTCTGCCACTTCTTCTGCACTCAGAGTGGGCGGGGTGTCATGTTGCTCTAGGTCTTGAATCTCTCCAGCCTCTTTGGGTCCTTCCGAGATGTTGCCACCATCCTCAGTCTCCATAGGACCTGCAGCTTCCTCAACTGGCCCGGCGGGCTCCTGGTTTTGGTTCCCTGAGCTGTTCATTCCATTCTCTTCACTTGCTGACTCTGGCTTCAAGTTCTCCGAGTGTTCTGGGACGTCCCCAGGAGGTTCCCCATTGCTGTTTTCCACCACACTGTTCATGACGCTGTCCTGGGTTTCTGCTGACTCAGGCTCGGCACTCAGAGAGATCTCTTCATCATCTGCGGGCAAGAAGAAAACTATGTCATTCTTTCCAGAAGAGCAAGGGGAGCTAGCACTCTGGGTAGGCATATATAAACCATGGCAAAGGGGCTCTCATATAAGATACTGGAGAGGAGTGGATGAGGGCTTCTTACTCTCTAGATCACTACTGGAAAATTCTGTAATGAGTGCTCTTCATGTCAATGATACTTTCAGCAAGGCTACTCTTTTACAATTCTCTTTCAAGGTACTGCAAAGAAAAATTTTAATATCCCAAACCTGGCTTTAACCTCACCTCAGAGATCAACAATGCTTGTCGCATATTGTGACTTTCAGAGGTGAGGATGGCAAGAGTATTTATAATTCCTTAACAACTTTAGGCAAGTTAACTGCTCTTGCTCAAAACATTTCCCATGGCTCATCCTCAAGATGCTAGAATAGCTAAGCCAGGCTCTTACACTTCAACGGAGAAGAAAAAGGTTGGACTGCGTTCATGGTCGTCCGCAGCATTTAACAATAGGAAACGAAGGTTTCCAACCGGACCACCTTTCAGGGAGAAGCAACCACTGCTTAACTTTCCCTGACTTGGCGGGAAACATGTCAGATTGGTATTCTGCTTCAAATGCATTAGTGCAATTCCTGTTTGAAGAAAATTATCTCTCTGCTAAAACATACGGCAGCATTTCTGCACACCCTGAAGGGTCAGTCTTAGAACAGTAAAGGCTGGATCCGACAGAGTAAAGCAAGTGTCTTTACTTATTTGTGCATTGAGGCTTAGGGATTGGATGGCCATAAACTTCAGCCTCTGCGTTCTCAGAGGCTTCGCCAGCTTTAATAGTAACTCACATTTGGTTCAAGATGACTGCATGTTTCTCAGCATGGTGTATATTTAGTATGGGTGTATGGGAAAAGAGAAAAAGGAGGATTATGAGGCATCCTTTCATCGTCATTGTTTGGAAATAAGGTTTGGTATGGAAAACTGAATATAAGATGGTTCTGAAAATTTCATTTTCCCTGTAACACTGTAAAAAGTCACTGTATAATGTAGCTCCTCAACAATATGCCCCTCTTCAGCAAGTAGCCAATCTATAACCAGTTGGTAGGTAGAAAGGGATGCAACACATTCATCCGTTCTTCCACGCATTCATCTGTTCGTGGATAGAGTGATTACATTGCTTTTCAGCATCTCCTCTGTGAGACGCCATTTTGTATCACATTGTTGACCTTTACGCTACTGTGTAACCATCTATCTTTGGGTGACAGGAGTTAGGGGGAACCTTTTCACCAAGGAGCTAGCAAAGCTGGCTTCTAAAATCAGTCGCTGGCTTCTGGGACACAGATGGAGATGAGAGAGCTACGAAGCCTATGCCACGCTCGGGGAGAACTATGGTTATCTGCACTTTAGAGAGAAGAACCACGCTGGAGCACTAGCCTTGAACACGACATGAAGATCATGCTGGAAGTACCTGCATGGATGGAGGATGTGATCTCAAATCGGAACTGCAGCTGTCCACTCACATGGTCAGTTGGAAGCCTGCGGCCAAGTGTGTAGCTGACCACCCTATCCCTAGAAGGAAATAAGCACCATCACAGATTTTGCAATAGCCTATCCTGCTAAAGACCACACAGGGTGCTTTCCACACCAGCTGCTGCGACAGGCAAGCTCAGAGGAACTACTGACAGGAAGCGAGGGGCTCTCTGGGGACCTATGCGACCGCCTTAAGGTACATATGTGGGGTCAAGTATAAGGAAATTCTTATCAAATATTCTAACTCAAGGGTCAGAAAACTACAGTTCATATCTAGTCATCACTTTTTTTTATTTTGGTATGGTCATAAGCTTTATTTTAAAGATTTGTTGGAAAATACTTAAAGAAGAGTAAATTGTGTGAAATTCAAATTTAAGTATCTGTTTTATTGGAACACAGCCATGCTTATGAGATTATGTCACAGTGGAAGAACTGAACAGTTTAGACAGAGACTGTGTGGCCTGTAAATCCTAAAATATTACCCCTTTTTACGGACTAAATTCGACAATATGTGTTGTACAGAAGGCGAGAGGACAAAAATTGCAAATGTTTTTGCTTGATCTTCTGTGGACATTGCCATTTTCAAATATGCCCCTGGCAATGGAGGTACCAGAATATGTGAGAGGGAGTATATGCAATGTATAAGAATAGATTCCATGATAGTTCCTGGAGAGCCTGTGCCGGGCTATGGGAAGCCACCTGCTACAGGATGGAGCGAAAACAAGTCTTGTATTCACTGACCTTTGGTTTCCAGAGCAGCATGTATGGAGGCGCTTATTGACTACTCTGGATTCTGGTGCCATACCCCTTCAAAGTCATTTTTGAATTGTTGAAAAATAATCCATCCAGGGAGGAATCAATCTGAAGCTGTAATGGTATTTTCCCCCCACAGGCAATACAGTTTTTATTAAAAAGCAGTTTCTTGCTACGTTGGCCACATGAGGGAAAATACTTCTTTGGGAGGTCCAGGGACAAACAAAGGTGTATTTCATAGCCAACTGTTTGCTCCTTATTCACTCCACTGATTCATTTGTGAGATTCAAATAAAAATATGAGTTACTGGATGTCAGTATTAAATGACTTCTTAGCAAAAATTGACATTATGAAACAAATAAAATAGCCCAATGATCCATTAATTTAATATCTTCCTTGATAAAGCATGGCATAGTGTTTATTTTCAGAACTCATTATATTTCATAGTTAAAACATTATATGGAGATATAATAGGATAAACCACAATGCTCTGTCAATTTAGAAAGGGGGAGGATATTGGTTATCATTTTGAAATATGCCCGCTATGATCGTAAGAAATACTTTCTGAATCTAAATCGATAGAAATGAGAGCTGAAGATGATCATTTGTGACATGGCAATCAAGTTCACTGTGTTCTGTACTCACTTCCCAAGATTTCCTCTCTTTGCTTCCAACCACTCAGACACCTCAGAAAGTGGTTCCTGAGGCCCTGCCGTAGAAGAAGGTGCTGAGGCTGACCTTTGCATTCTATACGGTGAAGCCTATATGTACCCCACAGAACCTGCCTTTAACAGCTTACAACTACCTGGAGACTAAGGAGGGGCCAGTAAATAGCGACCCAGATAGTCAGCGACACTCTCAAAGTGAAGATCGGAGTTGAGTTTAGAGACCAAAAGACAACTGAAAGGTAGTGCTACAGTTTAAGGAATGGAGAGAGGACTGGAAATGGTGTGTGTGTGTGTGTGTGTGTGTGTGTGTGTGTGTGTGTGTACTCTGGGGTTGTACCATGGCTCAAGCCAAATGACTACTGACTGCTTCATGGCCATCATCCAGCAATTTCTTGCTTCTTATGCTGGACATATCTCTAATGGGCAGCTTTACAGGAGTGGTCTCCACAGGTGATGGATACTGCAGTACTGGGGAGAGAAGGTGGAGCGGCCGGAATAAGTGGAGGAGTAGGAGTTGGAGTAGGCTAAGTGTATCATCCTATCAGAGGTGGCGGGGAGTAATACCACCAAGGCTTATTGTTGCCTGCACTCATCTACGCTGCCCCTCCCTCTAAGAGGGAAGAACACCAGGAAAACCAAACTAACCTTGCTCAGGTTAGGGCAAACCCCTTCTATCTTTTTGTTTTCCTACCTGGGTATACATTCTTCCACAATGCAAGGCTGGCATTGCAGGTCAATACTAAAAAACGGTGTAGGGAAGCGGATGAGTCCTCTCTGTTGCTGTAACGAGCCAGAGAGTTCAGCCAGCAGGAAGTAGCTGAGTATGTGTTAGGCAGCGGTGGGCTCACTGCTGGGGTATCAGAAGTCTTACCACACCTCTTTTTGCTGTCTTGCTCCATACCTGGCAGAGCATCAGCAGTGTGAGGGTAGGAGAGGAGTGGAAAGTACGGCAATAGCAAACTAGGCAATCAGCTGCAGGGGGAGGGAGGCAAGTGTGTGTCTAACCTTGACTTATCCCTCACAGGTCTCTCCTTCTTACGTGGAGAAACGATAATGCTTAAGTTACAGAAGTGTTACGAGAACCAGATGAAAAAGACAAAGGTCATAAAGAACACTATTCCCTCTCAAGCCCTACTATGTGCCAGTGATAATATTAGGCAATTTACACCAGGGTGTTGTGTGTTCAATTTTCACAAACCTGAATGGGTAGTGGAGACATAGTCTGACATGTGGCAATGACTCCATATATGTCAACTTCCTTTGGTTTGAGAATTAAGGCAGCCTTATGATCACACAACTACATACATGCTGTCAGGTACTAAACAAACCCCTAGAGAACTTCATATTAAAATATCCAAAAAGTCTGCATAGCATTTTTCAGTCTTTTGATATTACTCTGTGAGACATAACATATTAATAATATGCTTATAGCCAAAGGCCCATGCTAATATTTTTAAATGTAGTGCTATTAGCTAAGGAAATACACATTATAAAAGAGGTGATCTGATCATAGTTCATTTTAATAAAAACTATGAGTGAATATGAATGAGAAATATGTAAAACACAAAAGCATATTCTTATATACAATTGACTTCTGCAACCAACATAATTGCTGTCATTCCCTGAAAATGCATGCTTTTAAAATTTCATCTAGAATTTCTTGCAAATAGCATATTTTGAGAAATTCTACCTAAGAAGCATAGCACTTCATCTGGGTATGGAAATGCAGTGTGTGGTTAAATTCTACATACAAGACAGGCGAAGGAATGAAATATTTTCCATAGCAAAGGCAAACTTTAAACGTCTATTTATGCAGGAAAATGTATTTTTCAATACTGTCTTATGATTTTTTTATACTCTTTAATATGTTTTACACAAATTGCACATGACTAAGAAGAAGGGGAATGATTTAACTGAATATCATGGCTCAGGAAATGATATTGGTGGGAGAGACCCAGGAACTGGAAACCATTTTAGTTTGTCTTTCCCTAAGACTTTATAATGGCAACTCACAAGCCATCCTGAAGGTGGCCTATGAGTGGAAGGGCATGGCCTATGAGCGGAGGGGCGTGGCCTATGAATGGAAGCATAGCCATCTCAGTCACAGTTTACCCTATGGCGTGTCTCTCCAGCAGCCTCTGAACCGGCATTGACAGCTTTCCCAAGAAACGCTTGATGATGGGACGGCTCTTGGCAAACTTGTCCTTCACTTCAATTTCCAGCACATCAGTTGGCAGAGACACGAAACTGAAATGCTGCAATGAGAAACCACATCACATTAACTAACCGAGAGGTTCTAGGGCTGGTAATTCCCGATTCCTGCGCCTTGGCCTTAGTGACGCTGTGAGACCTGTTTGTTAATAAAGGAAGGCTGACAACTGTATTCTCCCTTAGATATTAAAAAAGCATCGAAAAAGGAGTGAGAAACACGTAAGACTGAAACTTGGAAAATAGGATAAAAGGCTGTGAAACACTATCTTCTAGACTTGATACAACCATTACCTCACAACAATCGTGGTTACCTTCACTAAGCCAATGTATCAGCAATCAGTCATGGAAGTGGGAGGGACTTGAAGGACCACACCCTTCACTGCTGAAGTCTGGCTATTGGTGGAATCTGAGAGAGGGAGGGTCATTTTTTTTTTTTTTTCTGTTTTACATCCCATGCTGATCACATCACATCAGGCTCCCAGGGTCAGGACAATGGGCCTTGTTAAACCCAGTGAGTAACAACAACACCACCCAGCCCCTTCCACCCCAAATGACTTGAAAATGGAAGAGATCTGTGAGGAGAAAAGGGGCTGGGCATGGGTAGCAGACAGACAATAAAGAGTAGGGATTAAGAGGGGTCAAACACACTGGGTACATGTGTGGAATTGTATAAGATGGAAATTTGATTAAATAGGAAGTAGAGTTAATCTTTTATATTCAGATAAAATCAGCACAAATTGAATACAAAGCACTTATCAAACTCTCATACATTTGATAACAGCAGGCGAGAGAGACTTGCCTTGGCGGTGGGGCAACAAAGAAGGAGATTTAAGGAGAGAGAGGAGGGGTGATTTAGACTAAAGATGCTTGAAAAAGTGCTCGCTTCGGCAGCACATACACTAAAATTGGAACGATACAGAGAAGATTAGCATGGCCCCTGTGCAAGGATGACATGCAAATTCGTGAAGAGGTCCATATTTTTATGGAACCTTCTCAAAAATTGACCACATTCTCAGTAACAAAGCAAACTTCCACAGTTACAAAAAAAATTAGTAACCACCTGTGTCTTATCGGATCACCATGGATTAAAGTTAGAATTCAACAACACTGCTACCCCCAGAAAGCCTACAAACACATGGAAACTGAACAGTCAACTACTGAACCACACCTGGATCAAGGAAGAAATAAAGAAAGAAATTAAAGTCTTTCTTGAATTCAATGAAAATAAAGACTCAACTTACTCAAACCTATGGGACACTATGAAAGCAGTGCTAAGAGGAAAGTTCATAGCACTAAGTGCCCACTTAAAGAAAACAGAGAATTGGAGACTTAACCACCTGAAAGCTCTAGAAAAAAAGAAGCAGACTCACCTAGGAGGAGTAGAAGACTGGAAATAATCAAACTGAGGGCTGAAATCAACAAAATAGAAACAGAGAAAACAATCCAAAGAATCAATGAAACAAAAAGCTGGTTCTTGGAGAAAATCAACAAGATTGATAAACCCCTATCCAAACTAATCAAACGGCGGAGAGAGAATACGCAAATTAACAAGATCAGAAATGAAAAGGGGGACATAACCACAGAAACAGAGGAAATTCAGAGAATCATTAGATCTTACTACAAAAGCCTGTATGCCACAAAATTGGAAAATGTAAAAGAAATGGACACTTTTTTAGATAAGTACCATATACCAAAGTTAAACCAGGACCAGGTGAACAACCTAAATAGACCTGTTAGTCGCGAAGAATTAGAAGTTGTTATCAAAAACCTCCCCACCCAAAAAAAGCCCAGGTCCAGACGGTTTCAATGCAGAATTCTACCAGAACTTCCAAGAAGACCTAAAACCTATACTCCTTAATGTATTTCACAATATAGAAACTGAAGAGTCATTGCCAAATTCCTTTTACGAAACTACAGTTACCCTGATACCAAAACCACACAAAGACTCAACCAAGAAAGAGAATTACAGGCCAATCTAACTCATGAACATCAATGCGAAAATCCTCAATAAAATACTGGCAAACCGAATCCAAGAACACATTAGAAAAATTATCCATTATGATCAAGTAGGCTTCATCCCAGGGATGCAGGGCTGGTTCAACATACGAAAATCTATCAATGTAATCCATCATATAAATAAACTGAAAAAAAAAGCCCATATGATCATTTCATTAGATGCTGAAAAAGCATTTGACAAAATTCAACATCCCTTTATGATAAAGGTCTTGGAGAGATTAGGGATACAAGGGTCATACCTAAATATAATAAAAGCTATTTACAGCAAGCCGACAGCTAACATCAAATTAAATGGAGAGAAACTCACAGCCATCCCACTAAAATCAGGAACATGACAAGGTTGTCCACTCTCTCCATACCTCTTCAATATAGTGCTTGAAGTTCTAGCAATAGCAATAATACAACATAAGGGGACCAAGGGGATTCGAATTGGAAAGGAAGAAGTTAAACTTTCGTTATTTGCAGATGATATGATAGTGTACATAAGCGACCTCAATATTGCCTTGATATAACTAAGACATCAGTGTGAAGGTGATATTATAATCCAGAAGGTGAAATGGCTGTGAGGAATTTCAGAGACATCCTATGCCGGCCAGAGTTTTGTCAACTTGAAACAGGCGAGAGTCATGGGAGAGGAGGGAACGTAGACTGAAAGAATGTTTCCATATGATATGGCTATACGCAGGTCTATAAGGTATTTTCTTAAATAGTGATCGATGCGGGAGGGCCCAGTCCATTGTGGGTGGTGCCACCCTGGGTTGGTGCTTCTGCGTGCTGTAAAAAAGCCGACTGAGCAAAGAAGGCAAGCAGTACCCCTCCATGATCTCTGTTTCAGTTCCAGCTTCGAGGTTCCAGCCTTGAGTTCCTTCTCTGACTTAGGGGATGGACTGTGGCCTGAGAGATGATAACTGGAATAAACTCTTTATTCTCCAAGTTGATTTTGATCATGGTGTTTAATCATAGCAGTGGAGACCCTAACTAAGACATATTCATGTTCAACACGACTTAGTATTTTCTAAGGTGTTTATGGGTATGAGAAAATACGACTCTAGACTGAGAAGGCAGTATTATCATCTGTTTATAACCACTCATAAATGTGTGAAAGCCAGAAAAATAATTTTTCTTGTTTTATAAGCTCTAGCACTTTATGAAATTAGTTCTTTGAGAATTTCGTAGAATATACGTTGAACATGCCCATCTCCCTTCCCCCACTACTGTCAGAAACACTCCCTCCCCTAAGTTTGTGTCTTCTTTCTTGCAACCTATCAAGTCCAGTTGGTGCACCCAACGTATCTTGGACGTGTGGCCTTCTGCAGGAATGTAGCCAAATTACCATGAACTACACTGTTAAGGAAAACCAGTTCTTCAGTGGCTATCAGTGGAAAATAGGTCCTCAAATAGGGGTTGAACTTCATCCCAACCTCCCTGCCTATTCCAGGATTTGATTTGGCCATATCTTGCACAGTTCTTGTGTATACTATGAGCTAGTTCATATGTGCAGCTGCCCTGCACATCTGTCTGCAAGATGCTATTTCCTTGTGTTCATCCATTGCCTCTTCTGTTCTTCCTGCCTCCTCTTCCACAAAACCCTGAGTCTGGGGGAAAGGGTGTGATGTAGATGTACTATTGGGAACTGAGAATTCCACAGTCTCCATCCCTGGGCTCCAGCACCATGTGAGTCTCTGCATAAGTCACCTTGTATAACAAATAGAAACTTCTCTGGATGAGGGTGAAAGACGCATCAATCTGTGGGCACACGGGCATGTCACTAGGAGTTCATATACTACTATATAATACTGTGTCCATTTAGCAGAATAATAGCATCAGGTTCTTCACTAGTGGCTATCACTAGCTTGTCTAGCCACAGGCTCTTGTCCTGATAATGGTGCCAGGTGTGGGCTTCGTCCTGTGGGATGGGACTTAAATCCAATCAGAAAGTTGTGGGCTTCTCCCATTATCTTCATGTCATTTTGCTCCAATGAGTGTGTCTTGCCAGCCTAGTCATTATTTTAGCTCACAGGGCTCACAGCTGGTTGAGATTGGTGGTTACCTTTCGTGTCTGGTAGGATGCATATTACCTACCAGAACTGTGAAAGCTAGACCAAAGGGATGAAGCTTCCAGGCCAGCACCTGCTTGATTCCTCCATGACCAGTGACTGAGGAATAGGACTTTCAGGAATGGTGTCTTACTCTCAGCTTCTATAAGGTAACCAATAACACTGTCAATAACCTGTAAAGCTAGGGCATCTATGGGGCCTCACTAGCCAACAGCTCCAAAAGAGGTAACTCATTCCTGGAACTGGATTTTTAATTTGTTAGCCTATGGTGTTATAGTACAACTTCTTTTACACACACACACACACACACACACACACACACACACACACACACTATCTATCTCTATCTATCTATCTATCTATCTATCTATCTATCTATCTATCTATCTATCTATCTATCTATCCCC